GCAATGAGGATACATATAGCAAACCCTAGATGGGTTGTACTCGCTATAGAGCACCCCACTACAGGCTAGAGAATAACATTCTGACACACCCCCATAGCCAAAGTGGGGTGTAATCAGTACAATGAGCAAGCAGGTATAGAGCAGGAGTTCACAAAGGTAAGCAAAGCTAGAGCTAATCACAGAGGGCAAGTGAGGAGGAGGAGAGACTGTGGAGGGAGAGAAGATGGGAGGCAACGACTGAAGCTGCAGAGGCACGGGCACAGGAGCGGCTGACTCAGAGGCTACTGAAGCAAGGGCGACGGACTACTGGAGTGACTGGCTCCGCGGCTATAGACGAGCGGCAGGAGCAACGGACCCACTGGCGACTGGTGCAACAGGCTCACTGGCTACCGAAGCAAGGGCGATGGACTACAGGCGCTGCAGGCGACAAGACAGCTACCTTCACACAACCTCCTCCAACTGCCCCACTCCCCTCTCACACACCCCCTGTTCAAACCCTAGCTCCACTCCCACAGCACCCCCCTTAAACCCTAAACCCAAGGCTCCCACACATCCACCCCCCTCAGCGACAGCTGCAGCAGTGGGAGACGAAGGAGGAGGATGAGTAGGGGACGGCGCACACAACCAACACCCCCACAACCCCCACCCCCAAACCCTAAAACGGGTGGGACGGGGAAGGAGCGCGGGGGACGGCGAGGGGAACGGCGCGCGGCCCCCAGGGCGCCACCACAGGGCAGCGAGGCGCCGCGCGCGGCTCCCCAGGGCGCCGCGAAGGGGCAGCGGGAGGGCGGCGACGGGACCGCAGAGAGCGGCGACGGGGCCGCTGCGGGCGGCGACGGGGCCGCGGAGGGCGGCGACGGGGCCGCTGCTGGCGGCGACGGGGCCGCTGCGGGCGGCGAAGGGGTCGCAGCGGGCGGCGACCGGGCCGCCGCGGGCGGCGACGGGGCCGCTGCGGACGGCGACGGGGCCGCTGCGGGCGGCGACGGGGCCGCTGCGGGCTGCGACGGGGCCGCTGCGGGCGGCGACGGGGCCGCTGCGGCGGCGACGGGGCCGCTGCGGGCGGCGACGGGGCCGTAGAGGGCGGCGACGGGGCCGCTGCGGGCGGCGACAGGGCTGCTAAGGGCGGCGACGGGGCCGCGAAGGGGGGGGGAGGGGCCGAGTGGGGGCCGCGAAGGGGCGCGCGGCGGGATGAAAAATGCGTCGCACGCCACGGGGCGTGCGACAGATCGAGTAGCAGCGGAAGCAGGTGGGCCCACAGGCCAGGAGCGTACCCGCTCTGATAGCATGTTAGAATAGTAAGCATAGTTAGGAGCCATAGCTATGTAAGCCCTAGCTAGGCAAGAGAAAGTTTAGGCAAAAATGAGGGGTTTCACTAGCAGCAATGAGGATACATATAGCAAACCCTAGATGGGTTGTACTCGCTATAGAGCACCCCACTACGGCTAGAGAATAACATTCTGACAGCTGTCAGTGTTGTACGTGCTGAGCAGGGACGCGAAGTAAGGAAAATGAATTTTCCTTACACATACCCTTTTTATATGATGATTTATGAATAGAGTTTCAATCTATATCATGAACAACCTAGAAATTATCAGCCATGTTTATATGTCTCACCTTTTCACTGTTACATTTCACTCATGACTGCAACGAGCCAGTTCGGCTCCTTACAGTCACACGAGGTGGTGGCTAGGTTGTCTTTTTAGTTCGTCCGCTCGCGGGGAAGGGTACCCGCCATACCAAATAAATTCCCCAACCATGGACAAGCCAAATCACCGCGGCGCGACTGTGATAACTAGGCCAAATTGCCACGTATGCTGGCCTGGGCAGGACTGGTTCGGGACAGGATGCGAGAAGCCCGTCTAGTCCAGCCACTCCCAGCCACATCACATCAGCACGTGCTTCTCGGAATTGCCGCGCCGCCCGGGCTGGACGCCCTCCTCACGAGTGCTGCATGGCATTTCACCAGGTCCTCCCACATCCCACACCGCACTAAACCGCACGGACAAACTCGAGGTCAATTTGCGGCTCCAGATTACTATATCCGAAGCGTCCATCATCCGCTTTACAGCCCTCAATCCCCAGGCTGACCAGTCTCAAGGCCGCCATACCGTCTCAAAGTCATCACCGCACCACAAACCACAACTGAACCCATTTCCCTTCCCTCCTCGTTTGTGCTGAGGCACTGCTTCACATCACACACACACACTCCTTCTCAGCCCGTCAGTCAAGTTTCTGCTTCTGGGTGACAGTGGTGTTGTTCCGCCCGCGGAACACCGATTTTTGCGTTCGACCGATGCTGGCTCCGTTTTCCCCGCCCTGCTGCCTGGGTCTTAGACCGCAGCTCGCGTGGTTTTCGTCGCCCTTCTACTTGGGTCTTTGACCTCAGCGAGCGTGGCGGCAGGTGCCGCAGCTTGTTTGCTTTGAAGTATCTCAGACTCTCAGACTGGAGGTTACCTGTTTCGAGCGTGTCTATAGGGGAAGCGGGTCTCGTCGAGGTTGAATTAGCATCCTGATTTCCGAGATTCTGGTGTCCTGTTTTCCTAATTGCAAAGAGAAAGGTTTTTTAATCGGAGTCATTTTCCAGAGTACTCGCCCAGCTTACTGAGACAAGTCGCTGAAAATGGTGAGCTACGTCGATGGGCCAGAGCATTCGCCTTTCGTCGCCGGGCGACTCATAGGCGGTCGCTACCTTCGCCTGCGAAAGATCGGGACCGGGTCGCAGGGCGACGTATGGGAGTGCGAGGACATCCGCACGTCGCACCGCGTCGCATGCAAGTCCTTCTCCCCGTCCACGCGACGAACCAAATCCTCCGTGGCCGTCCTTGATATAGACGCAGAGATGCGCGCGCTACAAACCCTCGGCGGGCACCCGAACGTCGTACGCCTTGTAGACTTCTTCGTCGATGCGACAGAAGTTCATATAATAATGGAGCTTGTACAGGGCGGGGATTTGTGCACAGAAATCTGCGAGAACGGGCCGCTGCCGGAGCCGCTGGCTGCTACGGTGCTGCGGCAGCTCGCATCCGCTGTCGCTTTCTGCCACGCCAACGGCGTCGTGCATCGCGATATCAAGCCGGAGAACGTGCTGTTGGTGCGGCCGGTGCAGGGGGAACCAGAAGATTCGGGAAGCAAAAGGCTCGATGATTTTCAGCATCAGCATCAGCATCATTACCATCATCATCAGCAGCAGCTCCAGCCGCATCAGCTTCTGGATTCGTATCCGTCGCCTCTCAGCTTTCTCACACCAGAGGCGAGAGAAAACGCGTTGCTACGAAAAGGGGGCCTTCGTGGCGAGCAGGAAAAGAGTGCGATCATGGACATGGCTCTGAGGAACAGGACGAATATCGCAGCACTCTTATCGAGTACGAGCCTTGTAACGGAGCAGACCTGCGTCGATATAAGTCCAAACATCGGTCCGCAGAATCTGACACTTTTTGACCTCCAATCACCGCCTCCGCATCCCTCCGCAGCAACTCCCAAAGCAAGCCCTGTTCGGCCGTCCGTGTTCTCGCGCTTCGGGAGGATGAAAATCCAGCAGGCCTTGGCGCATCGGCAGGGGCACGTGGGTGCGGGGAGGGGGATAGTCGGAGTGAAGCTGGCGGATTTCGCGCTGTCGACGACCGTGGATGGCGGCATGTCGGGGCAGAAGCACGGGCGGGGAGCGGGCACGCGCATGTACATGGCCCCTGAAATGAAGCAGCGCGGCGCGGAAAGCGGTTCGGGAGAGGGGAGAGGTGGAGGGAGGAGAAGTGGAGTGACGGAAGGGGGGGAGAAGAATGTGGTGGGAGGAGGAGGTGGAGGTGGAGGAGGAGGAGGAAGAGAACATTTTCGGTTTTATGGGTGCAAGGCCGATGTTTGGAGCCTAGGTGTGACTCTGTGCGTGATTCTAACGGGGCTCATACCGATTTTCGACCAATCAGGGTGCTTGGATCTCGGTGACCCGGTCTGGAGACGGGTGTCTTGGGCGGCAAAGGATCTCGTCCGTAAGATGTTGCAGGTGGACCCGAATCAACGGCTGAGCTCGTTCGAGGTTCTGGAGCACCCGTGGCTGAACCAGAGGGCGGTTCGGTTGAGAGACATTGCCACTCGGTGCCCGAACCTGCTCTCTCCGCTGATTCCTGCTCCTTCCACAAAGACGCTGAGGGCATGACTTGCCCCCTGGTTCCTGCTCTCTCCTCTGCTTCCTGCCCCAGCCATAACGACACTGAGGGTTTAATGCTCCAACAAGGTTGAGGGCCCAAGTACACTTCGGCAGGGGTTGAGAGACATTGGGCTTTCATGGATAGCCCAACATTCATACTTCCTTAATACCCTTTGCCTCCTCTCTGCCCTTCAGACTACACCTCCAACACCCTTCACCTGCTTTCCATAATTCACCCTGCTTTCCGCTGTTCACCTTTGACCTCCTCTCCCCTTGGCACCACATGCTCATACCAGTTACCTCCCTTTTCCCCCTCCATTGCTGCTTCCACAAGCTTTCGCAACAGTTTTGAGGTTGGGGTTTATAGGGAGAATGGTTGGCCAGATATCCAAATACGGTACGGTACGGGTTAATAAGGTCATGACGTGAGAAGTTGTTGGGAAGGAAATAAATGGGGTGCCGAATAAGCTACGGGGTGTAGCAGTGATTGATGTCACTACATACGATTCACACTGTTAATGTGATCAATACATGTACATCCAAGTTTATTACTGTGCATTCATCTTGATTTGAACTTACTATAAGCCAAACAGAAAATCCTTACATGCAAATGTATTTTAAATTCATGTCACATAGCACGTGTATCTAAATTACTAATAAGTGAAGTTTTAGATTGTAGCGAAACCAAGCTAACTTGAGGCCTTCCCGAACCTGTGCTAATAATTTCCACTAGTCAGTCCTCACGTGATTGATTGTGCACCACTAACTTAGGCCGTGTGATAAGAGGGTATCGTTAGCCGCGTTTCTTACAGCTTCACGCGTGTAGGAGCTTTCACGTGACCTAGGCCTGGTCGAAGCTATGGCGATCGTGTCACAATTAGCTGCCGTGACTTTGAACGTTCCAGGAAGCCTAAATCGCTGCTCGCTGCAACCGCTGCGACCCGCACAGGTACGTAAGAGGTAGAAGGTACGTCGCAGGAAGTTTCGTCGCAGGAAGATACGTCCTTGGTACGTCCCAGGTAGTTATTAATCACCAACGATTAGGTTTTCAAGAAATCGTTGACTCAATTCAAAATCTCCTAGTTTCTTAATCTCGGTCGCATTCATGGCGGTGTGTCTCTTTGACTTAATGACATTTCTCACTGTTTCCAAAAACTTGCCGTTCAGGCATCTCAATTGGCAATTCCGCTCCGCAGGCGTCATATTCAAGTCACAGCGTCGCAGGACCAGCAGCGGCAAGGTATGCCCAGTGACAGACGCGCACCGTTCGCTGTAGTCACATTTTATAGACGTTCAACAGGCGATGTAGCTGGGTTTATCCATTACAGCACAACCATTCAAGAAAGTGCTTGACGCTTTTACCCCCGCTGGGCTCTTCCCCACCCCCCCGGGGCTCTTCCCCACCCCCCCGGGGCTCTTCCCCAAACCTCCGGGGCTCTTCCCCACCCCCCCGGGGATCTTCCCCACCCCCCCGGGGCTCTTCCCCACCCCCCCAGGGCTCTTCCCCACTCCTCAACTCAACCCCCTCTATCCATCTCTCTCTAGCACAGCCATCGTTGATGACCGCAGCAAGGAGGGGATTAATGCGCTCTTATTGTTTACTCCTCCCCACTCATCGACCCCCTCCCCCACCCCCACCCCCCCTTACACCCCCACCCGCCACCCCGCCCTATCCATCACTCTCCAGCACAACCATCCGGTGCTGGGCGCAGCAAGGAGGTGCTTGACGCCTTCTTTCTCCTCCATCCACCCCTGTCCCCTCTCCTCCCCCCATCCCCTACTCCCCTCCCTTCCCCCCTTTTTCACCCGCTCCTTCCCTCCGCCCAGCACAACCATCTGGTGATGAGCGAAGCAAGGAGGTGCTTGATGCTTTCGTTCCCCTCAGTTTCACCTCTGTCCACACTCCCATTCAACCCCCACGCACCCCTATCCATCACCCCCAGCACAACCATCTGGTGATGAGCGCAGCAAGGAGGTGCTTGAGGCGTTCCTTTCCGGTCCTGGAGCAGAGGTGATCTCTCAGTCTCAGAGCGACTGAGGTGTGCCCCCTCCCTGCTTCCCCACCACACCCGTCCTTCCTCCCAGCACAACCATCCGGTGATGAGCGCAGCAAGGAGGTGCTTGATGCCTTCTCCTCCATCTATCCCCTCCTTCCCCCCCCCTTCTCCCACCTCTCCCTTCCACTTCCTCCCCCACCACACCCGTCCTTCCGCCCAGCACAACCATCCAGTGATGAGCGCAGCAAGATGCATTTTTCCCCTCCATTCATCTCTGTCCACCCTCCCCTCCTCCCCTCTCTTCCCCCTTGGCTGCACCCCCTCCATTCTTCCGCCCAGCACAACCATCCGGTGATGAGCGCAGCAAGGATGTGCTTGATGCCTTCTTTCCCCTCCATTCACCTCTGTCCCCGCCACCCTCCTCCCCCCACCTCCCCTCCCGCACCCCCTCCATTCTTCCTCCCAGCACAACCATCTGGTGATGAGCGCAGCAAGGAGGTTCTTGATGCCTTTTTTCTCGGCAAGGCCGTAGCAGAGGTGGTATCAGAGCGGGTGGGGTCCGCTGTGGGGGAGATTCTCAGTGAAGTGGGGAGGCGGCAAGCGGAGCAGCAGCAGCAGCTGAAGCAGTTCCAGGTGAGCCGGTGTGTTTTGAGCAAGTCAAGCCAGAGGTGGTGTTGGGTGTTGGGTGTTGGTTGGTTGGAGCAACTGGGTCGGCAGTGGGGGAAATTCAGAAGTGGCGGAGCAGCAGCAGCAACTGAAACTGCTTCAGGTGAGCATGTGAGGTTCTACAGCTGGTGCGACTCGAGCAAGTCAAACCAGAGATGGTGTTGGTTGGTAGGAGCGAGTGGGGTCGTTTTGGGGGGAGATTCAGAAGTGGAGAGTCGGCAGGCAGAGCAGCAGCAGCAACTGAAGCAGTTCCCTCCAGGTGAGCATGTGAGGATTCATGCAGAGATGTTTTTGACAGCCGGTGCGTCTCGAGCAAGTCAATCCAAAGGCGGTGTTGGTTGGTAGGAGCTAGTGGGGTTGGCTGTAGGGGAGATTTTGAGTGAAGTGGGAGGCGGCAGGCGGAGCAGCATGTGAGGGTTCATGCAAAGATGTTTTCTACAGCCGGTGTCTCTCTCGCAGGTCAAACCAGAGATTGTGTTGGTTGGTAGGAGCAAGTGGGGTCGGTTGGGGGGGAGATTCAGAAGTGGGGAGTCGGCATGCAGAGTAAAAGCAGTAAAAGCAGTAACTGAAACAGTTTTATTGTGAGCTGGTGTGTTGGCAAGTCAATCCAGAGGGGGTGCTGATTGGTAGGAGCGAGTGGGGTCAACTGTGGGGGAGAGTCTGAGTGAAGTGGGGAGGCGGTAGGTAGAGTAGCATCAATATTTGAAACAGTTCCAGGTGAGCCAACATGTTTTTAGCAATTCATGTCTCAAGCAAGTCAAACCAGAGGGGATGTTGGTTTGTAGGAGTGGGCGGGGTCGGCTGAGGGAGAGATTCCGAATGAAGTGGGGAGGTGGCAGGCTAGCAGCAGCAGCAGCAGCTGAAACAGTTCCAGGTGAGCCAGTGTGTAGGAACGAGTGGGGTTGGATATGGGGGAGAGAGCAGGGAATCTGATTCTGTGCGGGTGGGTACGTGTGTCAGCAATGTGTGTTGAAGCTATGTCAGCGCGTGTCTGAAGTCAATGGTGTTTGTAACTGTTTGTGCCATCTTCCCTAACATCTGACAGGAGGAGGTGAAGGAGAGAGCGAAAGAGGCATTGGAGCGGGCAGCTAAGGACGCCAAACGATGAGGATGAAATTGACATGGGGTACTTTTTACTAGCAGCTACACTACACCACATGACGTTGGGTGATTGATCAGGATGGAATTATGCACTGCCTTTCCATCTGCTCGGATATGCGCATATTGGCATTACTTTGATTGAATGTGCCCAGACACTGGTATAGGAAGACCTTACATGTCTGCCAGCAGGTAAAATAAATTTATATACGTATTCACAATTTACCCAGCAATACAATATTTGGAAGAACGAATGGCACCTAAATTCTAAGGGTGCGGACTTGAGCCAGGAAGAACCTACTTGCTGACACCGTCCTCACGTGCACCTCCGTCCATACCCTCCCCTCCCCTCCACGAGTATCTCTGCTGGAATTATAATGGACTCCCAGCAGCAAACTGCCCGCTTCCAGTCATTTTCTTCTCGAGCTCCTCAAAAGGTGCCAAATTTTGGCATTCAAGGCTCAGAGGTAACGCTTGATGAGGTTTCTGCAACGGCTCTCTCTGTGAAGGTGACTCTGCCTGCGAAGGCTCTCTGAACTGCTGCTTCCAGGCTCTCCTTCAGCAAATTCTCCCTGTCAGCATCCTCGATAAGGTCACAACCCTGTACAAGTAAGTCCTCCTTATATCGAGTGCCACCAGCGATGTCTGCTTGGACGTCCTCATACAGATTCCGCACCGACTTGCGTGAAGCGCGGTATTTATGTAAAAGCCGGCGTAGAGTTCTGAGCCGTTGCATCCACTGCTTCTTTGAAGCTTGCTCTTGAGCTGCACGCTGGCGTTTAACTGAAACGGAAACCGTTAACAGATAATGCAGGTAGGGTTGGGTCAATAAACGAACGGTTCAGCCTTGCAAGCAGGTTTAAAAGTCGGGTGAAGAATATAAAGCTGCTAGAGTGCTTCACTGGGTGGAACATAGTAACTAAAAACACGTAAAACGGATTTAATTTAGGGATTGGTTCTAACGGGACTCACTTTGCCACGCGTGCCCGTTATCGCGCTTTGCCGCCATGAGTAGACGCATGCGAAGGCACGCGGAACGCATGAAGAGCGTCGGATTCCGGGATGGGACGGAGCGATCGGCTAGCCGATGAAGCTGTGCAATCTGCCGAGTTTGCCCTCCGTTGAAGGAGACTCCGTTAGGATACCCTCCGTTGAGATCAACTTCAACTGCGACGAGCGCCATGGTAAACCTCTAAACCTCCCTACGAATCAATGAACAAAATAGGTGGGGTTGTAGCTTAAAGAATAGATACTAATCAGGCCATGATCGTGTGAAGCGTAATGATAGAAGCGCAGCTGCCTTCAGACGATCATAGGGAGAGAAGGGAAGAGATATGGCTGCATTGCTGACCATCATCCAGCCAAATAAATACTACAATGAGCGATCACGAACCCATGGTGGTTGAGAGTTTATGGATCGATCGTTCGGACATGGTATGCTTGGGTGCTTCTGCTGTTTCTGGTGATTATCTGGAAGCGGAGAATCCCAGCCAGACAGGATTTATGAAGACGAATTCCGTCATCGGTAAGGTCGAGGGACCAGAAAGCGTCAGCTCCACGGAAGGTGGGAACTTTGAGGAAAGCAGTGAGGTGGCGTGGCGGATGGGGAGGGGGTGGGGGGAGGGGAAACGAGTACTTGGCTGCGGAGGCAGGGTGCTGTAGGGTTCAGGGGTGTGGAGGGGAGTGGGGAAGTGGATGAGAGGTCGTGTGCGCTTCAAGTTCTCCCGACAAGTCTCGACTCCCGACCTCCGTTGACCCCGCGCGGAGCAGCTCCCTTCCGCGCATGACAAGATTGGATGGGCGAGCCGCGGGATGTCCCAGACCACACGTTTTTGGCGGCTCCCTGGGTTCAGGGTTTGTGGAAAAAACGATTGAAACATTATGACGCGTGGTACGGTTCCTAGTGTTTAGCTTTTATCGGCTAAAAGTGTATCGAGGATATAGCGTGCCTAGCATTACCCGGGCGCGTGGCATCTCCACGAAAACCACACTTCATTACGAAGGTCGCTGACGTTCCAGTTTCCATTCGCCACGCACAAGCTTCAGATTATTTGCCCCTAAACCTGCCACCTCGTCATAAATCCACGTGGAACCCCGATACGGTGACGCCAAATGTGGTCCCCCGGTCCTGCTGGGTCGCGGATATGCAGTCCGTGCTTGCTTGCTCGCTCTACAGATCGGTGGTCCCACCCACCCCATCAGCTTCCTGCTTTCGCTCACCCGTCCAGCTCACCCGATTGGACCACAAGAGATTCCAGCTCATGACCACCATTTCCCATGCAGAGAGCCCAGGCAATCCAGCGAAAACCAGAGTCTGCATTTTCAGATTCCTGAAATCTTGTTTTGCTTCAGGCAAGGCAGAAGAGATTCCTGTGACTTGCAGAAGTGCTTGGATCGCTGCTCGCTAATTACCACGCCACACAGCGTGATATTCTTGCTCTCTGGTTTTGGTATTTCCGAGCGAGATAGTTTCCTTGCGTGAATTGCGTAGCGTTCCGATTCGATCAGGTACATTACCATTGTCCGTCACTGCTGGAAGTTTCCCCGACCTTAAAACCCGCGGGCCAAGAAGTTCAACCTTAGGAAGGTTGGTTGGGGCGAGCAATGCAATTGACCAAGATTTTGGGTGTCAGGGCCAAACTCAACCGAAGTTAGGAAGGTTGAACCAATTTAGGCCTTCTTGGCCCTCCGGTTTTAACTCATATCGACTCTGACGTTAGCGTTTCGCCTTTGCAGAGCCATGGCGAACCCGTTCCAGCGCTTGCTGACCGAGCTGCCGAACCCTGATGGCGGCTCCTTTGGCTCGTATTACAGCCTCCCCGCGCTCAACGACCCTCGCATCGGTACTTACTGATAAGATCGCTTCAGATTTTCTTATTTCTTTCGCCAATATATATTAAAATTTCCGTTCTCATGACTCGTTCCACCTGATGTCTGTTTCTTTGCCATTCAGATGAGCTGCCAATCTCCATTCGTTACCTTTTGGAGTCCGCCATTCGTAACTGCGACAACTTCCAGGTCATGGAGAAGGACATTGAAAAGATTCTGGACTGGGCCAACACCTCCCAGCACCAAGTCGAGATCCCGTTCAAGCCTGCGCGTGTCATCCTGCAGGTTCGTACTCGCCTCTCTCGTGTTGTTCGCCCTTTTTCGTTAAATTCAGTCGAATTTGTCGTCAGATTGCGCCGTGTCGCGTGTTGCATTTCTTTGTGTATCACCCCTGACGACTTTGTGTGTGGGAATTTCTGTGCCTTAACTGTTTGATCAGGATTTCACTGGCGTTCCCGCTGTTGTGGACCTTGCTGCGATGAGGGAAGCCATGAAGGAGTCCGGCGGCGATCCGAATGCCATCAACCCTCAGGTGCCGTTCAATGATTGAAACGAATTATGCTGTTTTCTGTTGCTTTGACTCACCTAAGATTCATCAACAATTCGGCTCAATGCTATCGATTTTCACGCATATGTTGAACTTCATTAAAATTGTACCGTTTGAATCTGTGAACTTGCTGCTGGTACTCGCCTAATGTTGATTACCGGCTCAATGCTATCCAATCATAGGTGCCTGTAGATCTGGTTGTCGATCGTGTTTGCAATGCAGGAGCTTTCAACTCTGCAGCCTCCAGCTTTCCTTCGTTTTGAGAAGAGTAACCCTCGTGCAGGTCTCAATTCTGTCCGACCACAGGTCCCTGTGGATCTTATGATCGTCCTCTCGGTGGAAGTGGACTACGTAGGGGCGTCCAACGCGCTGAGCCTTCTGAGGCACCTCCAAATCTGTCCAACCCGTCCCTCTATTCCCTCCCCCCCGCAACCCCCCCCCCCCCCTGCAAACCTTGCCCTTCTCCCCACTCCCCCCACCAGGTGCCGGTGGATCTGGTGATCGACCACTCGGTGCAGGTGGACTACGCGGGGGCGTCCAACGCGCTGAGCCTCAACATGGAGCGCGAGTTTGAGCGCAACAGGGAGAGGTTTGCGTTCCTCAAGTGGGGCTCCAAGGCCTTCAGCAACATGCTCGTCGTCCCGCCTGGCGCTGGCATTGTGCACCAGGTGCGTGCTTTGGCGGTCTTTTGGGGGTGTGTGGGGAGAGGGGGAGGGCTTTCTCAGGATGGTTCTTTGGATGGGCTGGAGATTGTACCGTGCCTGCTGTTCAGAGGCAATAGCTCTTGATGAGTGGGGAAGGTTCGTGTTCCTCAAGTGGGGCTCCAATGCCTTCAGTAACATGCTCGTCGTGCCGCCTGGCGCCGGCATCGTGCACCAGGCCAGTGCCCTGCCGGTCCCTGGGAGGGGGGCCTAAGGATGGTTCTTTGAACTACCCAGAGTTGACATCCTGCAATAAGTGTGTGCCATGGCGGCTCTTGGGGGATGGGGGGAGGGGACCTCCGATTGGTTCTTTAGAAGATCTCGCACTGGTGGCATCATGCACCAGGTGAGTTTCCTCGAATGACGTGGCGCTGCCATCGTGCATCAGGTGAGTGCCCTGGCTGTTTCTGGAAGGGGCTCTCAGGATGGTTTGTTTGAGCAACTGCTGTTGGCATCATGCACCAGGTGAGTTCTCAGGAGCCGCCTGGTCACTTATACACTGTTCAGAGGCATGGGTCTCAAATAATTGGTGTGAATATTTCGTCCCCTTTATTGCTCACATTGCATTGTAAAAAGCTAAACGGATTTTGCCATTCTATGTGTAAAACGCAGGTGAATTTGGAGTACGTGGCTCGGGTGGTGATGGACATCAAAAACCTCTTCCTAAGGTTATTGGAGTTCCAAAACGAACACGCTTGTATGCTGCTGCATTGCATTGCATTGCACGTGCAGGTGAATTTGGAGTACGTGGCGCGGGTGGTGATGGACATCAACGGGCTGTGTGTAGAAAGTAGATTTTTGAGACGTCTCGAAGAGGTTTCCAATTTTTTTTAAATTATGCGCGGTTGTATGTTGCTGCGTTCCAAATGCAGGTGAATCTGGAGTATCTCACACGGGTGGTGATGGACATCAACGGACTCCTCTACCCGGACAACGTCGTCGGCACCGACTCTTTAGTCAACTTAAATTCACCTTGTTTGTGCCCCACGTGTTGCTGCATTCGAATCGCAGGTGAATCTGGAGTACCTGGCGCGGGTGGTGATGGACACAACGGGCTGCTCCTGAGGTTTCCTAAGTTGTTTAAATATACGCGGTTGTATGTTGCTGCGTTCCAAATGCAGGTGAATCTGGAGTATCTCGCACGGGTGGTGATGGACATCAACGGGCTGCTCTACCCCGAGAGCGTCGTCGGCACCGACTCACACACCACCATGATCGACGGGCTCGGAGTCGCCGGCTGGAGCGTGGGAGGCATCGAGGCCGAGTCCTGAGCCGTGGCTCACAACTCCCATCCCAAGTCACAGAAAAACACCACGACTTAATGATTTTTGTTGATCCTTCCTGCATTGTGTATGCGCAGGTGAATCTGGAGTATCTCGCCCGAGTGGTGATGGACATAAACGGCCTCCTCTACCCCGACAGCGTCGTCGGCACCGACTCACACACCACCATGATCGACGGGCTCGGCGTCGCAGGCTGGGGCGTGGGGGGCATTGAGGCCGAAGCAGCCATGCTCGGACAGGCCATGAGCATGGTCCTCCCGCAAGTCGTGGGCTTTAAGCTCACTGGGAAACTCCAGCCGGGAGTTACCGCCACGGACCTCGTCCTCACGTGTACGCAGATGCTGAGGAAGCATGGCGTGGTGGGGAAATTCGTGGAGTTTTACGGGGAGGGGACGAGGGAGCTGTCTCTGGCGGACCGGGCGACGGTGGCGAATATGTCTCCTGAGTATGGGGCGACCATGGGGTTCTTTCCTGTGGATTCAGTGACGCTGCAGTATCTGAGGGTGACCGGGAGGGACGACACGAAGCTGAAGCAGATCGAGACGTATATGCGCGCGAACAATCTGTTCATGGACCATGCCACTGTGAGTTCATTGTAGTCGCTACTCCTGAATGTTAATACGAAGCTGCTGTTTTGTGTCTGGTAATCCCGGGCTAGACTCTGAGCTATTAGCCACCTCCATATTCTCACCTCCATCCATGTTCCAACGAGTACCTTGATCCCCAATCTATCCATTCTTTTGTCGTCTGTTCCCCCTTTTGAGACGTCTCTAAAGTCCCGGGCTAGACTCTGAGCTATTAGCCACCTCCATATTCTCACCTCCATGTTCCAACGAGTACCTTGATCCCCAATCTGTCCATTTTTTTGTCGTCTGTTCCCCCTTCATTCTTGCATGTATTTTCTCCCAGGCTGGAGAGGCGGAGGCCAAGCGCAAGTATTCGTCCTACCTGGAGCTCGACCTTGCCACCGTCGAGCCCTACCTCTCCGAATCGCCTCTCTGAATCTCTGTTTTCCTCCGTATGCGCCCTTTACCCTGCTTTTCCTCATCACCTGTGTCATCCCCCAGGCTGGAGAAGCGGAGGCCAAGCGCAAGTATTCGTCCTACCTCGAGCTCGACCTTGCCACCGTCGAGCCATGCGTCTCTGGGCCCAAGAGGTGAGCCATACGTCTCTGGACCCAACGGGTGATCAATACTTACAACTCAAGCCGTTGTTTCCCCACATGGATGCTCCAGCAGCATGTTCCTCGCCATTTACTCCCGTCCATTCTCTCTCTCTCTCTCTCTCCCTCATGCACTCCCTGTGGTCGGTTGCCTCCCATGTGTGGTTCCACGCATGCCTCGTGACTGGGTGACTCTTTTTGAGACGTCTAGTTTTGAGACGTCTAATTTTGAGACGTCTTTAAACTCCCCCTGGTCGGTTGCCTCCCATGTGTGGTTCCACGCATGCCTCGTGACTGGGTGACCCGTTTTTCGTGCTTCCCCCCTGCTTCTATCTCTCATTCCCTTCCCTTATGGTCTCGTGCCTCCCTTGCGTGCTTCTCTGCAGACCGCACGACCATGGGAACCTTACGACTAGGACGTTCAAGTGACATGCTGTGTCCAGAACCCCGCTGCTATGCTCCTCCTCTTCCTCTTTCACTCACTCTATCCCATATAACCTGGCCTATTTCTTCCCATGCAGGCCGCACAACCATGTGAACCTTACGACTAGGACGTTTGAGTGACATACTGTGTCCAGATCCCTGTTGCTATGCTCCTCCTCTTCCTCTTTCACTCATTCTCTCCGACCTGGCCTGTTTCCTCCTCTGAAGGCCGCACAACCCTCTGAACCTTATGACTAGGACGTTTCACCGACATGCTGCGTCCAGAGCCCCGTTGCTGTGCTCCTCCTGTTCCTCATTCACTCATTCTCTCCCCTATAACCTGGCCTGTTTCCTCCCATGCAGGCCGCATGACCGTGTGACCCTCAAGACCATGAAGGCCAACTGGCACGCTTGCCTGGACTCCTGGTTGTGGTGTTCCCCCCGGCCTCTTTCTCTCCCATTCCCTCCCTCATGGTCTCCTGCCTCCCTTGCTTGTCTCCCTGCAGGCCGCATGACCGTGTGACCCTCAAGACCATGAAGTCTGACTGGCATGCTTGCCTCGACAACCCCGTCGGCTTCAAGGCAAGTCCCACTTGTAGTAACAAGATCTCCCTGCATCATACGTACCAGCATGTGCTTTACAACACTGCTGAGCAGAAAACAGATACGTGCAGTCTCACCTCGTGCTTCAATTAATCCACTTAGTCATTTGAGTGGATCTTCTCTTATACCTGAACTCTCTTTTCTCCCCGTCCACAGGGCTTCGCCATTCCCAAGGCGCAGCAGGGCAAGGCAGTGAAGGTGGCACTTAAAGACGGAGTGGAATCCGAGCTGAAGCACGGCTCTGTTGCTGTCATCGCTGCCATCACCTCCTGCACCAACACTTCCAACCCCTCCTTGTGCCTCTGTCTGTCTTGCCTCAACTTCCCTGTTGGTGACTGACTGACTGTGCTGTTTCTATCCCTACCCCACTCACTGCCCTCTCCCGTCCACAGGGCTTCGCCATCCCCAAGGCGCAGCAGGACAAGGCGGTGAAGGTGACTCTCAAGGAAGGGGTGGAATCCGAGCTGAAGCACGGATCCGTGGTCATCGCTGCCATCACCTCCTGCACCAACACGTCCAACCCCTCCTTGTGCCTGTGCTGTGCCCTCTCTCCATTTCCCCAGGGTTTTGCTATCCCCAAGGCGCAGCAGGACAAGGCAGTGAAGGTGACTCTCAAGGAAGGGGTGGAATCCGAGCTGAAGCATGGGTCCGTGGTCATCGCTGCCATCACCTCCTGCACCAACACGTCCAACCCCTCCGTGATGCTGGCGGCAGCGATCGTGGCGAAGAAGGCGAGTGAGAGGGGGCTCCAGGTGAAGCCGTACGTGAAGACGAGCCTGGCCCCTGGCTCCAACGTCGTCACCAAATACCTGGAGGCCAGGTGAGAGGGGTTCGGGTTTAATGGAGGCTGATAGGGCTCATCCCGTAGGTGATGCGCTGGCAGCAGCCATCGTGACGAAGAAGGCGAGTGAGAGGGGGCTCCAGGTGAAGCCGTATGTGAAGACGAGCCTGGCGCCTGGCTCCAACGTCGTCACCAAGTACCTGGAGGCCAGGTGAGAGGGCTTTGGGGTACAGGGCGGCTGTTTGGGCTTACGGTTTATGGGAGGTTTTAGGTATTCGGTTGCATTGTAGCTGAAGGAAGGATTTAGGGGAGGGATGGAGTGCTCAAGGTGGGCAGGTGAGAGGCGGCGCTTGTCCATTCTGCTGCAGGTGGTTTTTGAGAATTCTCAAAAACACCGTGCTCAAGGTGGACAGGTGAGAGGTGGCGCTAGTCCATTCCGTCGGTGACGCTGGCGGCAGCCATCGTGGTGAAGAAGGCGAACGAGAGGGGGCTCCAGGTGAAGCCGTACGTGAAGACGAGCCTGGCGCCTGGCTCAAATGTCGTCACCAAGTACCTGGAGGCCAGGTGAGAGGGGTCAGGTTTGGGGTGTAATGGCGGTTGGTAGGGCTCATCCGGTTGGTGATGCTGGCGGCAACCATCGTGGCGAAGAAGGCAAGCGAGAGGGGGCTCCAGGTGAAGCCGTATGTGAAGACGAGCCTGGCGCCTGGCTCCAACGTCGTCACCAAGTACCTGGAGGCCAGGTGAGGGGCTCGGGTTGTGCGTTCCTGGTAGGAAGGTTCTGGGTTTATGCAATCGGCTGAAGGAAGGAAGCATCTGGCAGCAACATAGACAGAACCCGTCACTTACGCCTGCATTTTATGCTTCGAGAACCGACCCAATTTTTGTGCTTCCTTTTATTGATTTTCCCCTCTCTCTGCAGTGGCCCCTCCCGGCTCTCGAGTGCCATGGCTTGCTCGGGGTGAATTTTGCTGCACCACGTGCAATGGGAGCTCATTCTGCCTCTTTTCTTTCCTCCTCTCCGTCTTTGTTTCCCTCGTTCCTCTCTCTGTGTGCAGTGGTCTCCTCCCAGCTCTGGAGGGGCAGGGCTTCCACGTGGTGGGCTATGGCTGCACCACGTGCATTGGAAACTATTTTTGCGTCTCTAATCTTTCCTCTGCATCCTTCCTTCTCCGCTCCCTTTTCCCTCCCTCTCTCTATGCAGTGGTCTCCTCCCAGCTCTCGAGGGCCAGGGCTTCCATGTGGTGGGCTATGGCTGCACCACATGCATTGGGAACTCGGGAGAAATTCACGAGTCCGTTGGGCAGGCCATTTCCGACAACGGTACGTGCACGAGTAGCATTTCCGACAACGGTACGTGCTCGAGTAGCATTTCCGACAACGGTACGTGCTCGAGTAGCATTTCCGACAACGGTACGTGCACGAGTAGCATTTCCGACAACGGTACGTGCACGAGTAGCATTTCCGACAACGGTCCGTGCACGAGTAGCATTTCCGACAATGGTACGTGCACGAGTAGCATTTCCGACAACGGTACGTGCACGAGTAGCATTTCCGACAACGGTACGTGCACGAGTAGCATTTCCGACAACGGTACGTGCACGAGTAGCATTTCCGACAACGGTACGTGCACGAGTAGCATTTCCGACAACGGTACGTGCACGAGTAGCATTTCCGACAACGGTACGTGCACGAGTAGCATTTCCGACAACGGTACGTGCACGAGTAGCATTTCCGACAACGGTACGTGCACGAGTAGCATTTCCGACAACGGTACGTGCACGAGTAGCATTTCCGACAACGGTACGTGCACGAGTAGCACTTCCGACAACGGTACGTGCACGAGTAGCATTTCCGACAACGGTACGTGCTCGAGTAGCATTTCCGACAACGGTACGTGCACGAGTAGCATTTCCGACAACGGTACGTGCTCGAGTAGCATTTCCGACAACAGTACGTGCTCGAGTAGCATTTCCGACAACGGTACGTGCACGAGTAGCATTTCCGACAACGGTACGTGCTCGAGTAGCATTTCCGACAACGGTACGTGCACGAGTAGCATTTCCGACAACGGTACGTGCACGAGTAGCATTTCCGACAACGGTACGTGCACGAGTAGCATTTCCGACAACGGTACGTGCTCGAGTAGCATTTCCGACAACGGTACGTGCACGAGTAGCATTTCCGACAACGGTACGTGCACGAGTAGCATTTCCGACAACGGTACGTGCACGAGTAGCATTTCCGACAACGGTACGTGCACGAGTAGCATTTCCGACAACGGTACGTGCACGAGTAGCATTTCCGACAACGGTACGTACACGAGTAGCATTTCCGACAACGGTACGTGCACGAGTAGCATTTCCGACAACGGTACGTGCACGAGTAGCATTTCCGACAACGGTACGTGCACGAGTAGCATTTCCGACAACGGTACGTGCACGAGTAGCATTTCCGACAACGGTACGTGCACGAGTAGCATTTCCGACAACGGTACGTGCACGAGTAGCATTTCCGACAACGGTACGTGCACGAGTAGCATTTCCGACAACGGTACGTACACGAGTAGCATTTCCGACAACGGTACGTGCACGAGTAGCATTTCCGACAACGGTACGTGCACGAGTAGCATTTCCGACAACGGTCCGTGCACGAGTAGCATTTCCGACAATGGTACGTGCACGAGTAGCATTTCCGACAACGGTACGTGCACGAGTAGCATTTCCGACAACGGTACGTGCACGAGTAGCATTTCCGACAACGGTACGTGCACGAGTAGCATTTCCGACAACGGTACGTGCACGAGTAGCATTTCCGACAACGGTACGTGCACGAGTAGCATTTCCGACAACGGTACGTGCACGAGTAGCATTTCCGACAACGGTACGTGCACGAGTAGCATTTCCGACAACGGTACGTGCACGAGTAGCATTTCCGACAACGGTACGTGCACGAGTAGCATTTCCGACAACGGTACGTGCACGAGTAGCACTTCCGACAACGGTACGTGCACGAGTAGCATTTCCGACAACGGTACGTGCTCGAGTAGCATTTCCGACAACGGTACGTGCACGAGTAGCATTTCCGACAACGGTACGTGCTCGAGTAGCATTTCCGACAACAGTACGTGCTCGAGTAGCATTTCCGACAACGGTACGTGCACGAGTAGCATTTCCGACAACGGTACGTGCTCGAGTAGCATTTCCGACAACGGTACGTGCACGAGTAGCATTTCCGACAACGGTACGTGCACGAGTAGCATTTCCGACAACGGTACGTGCACGAGTAGCATTTCCGACAACGGTACGTGCTCGAGTAGCATTTCCGACAACGGTACGTGCACGAGTAGCATTTCCGACAACGGTACGTGCACGAGTAGCATTTCCGACAACGGTACGTGCACGAGTAGCATTTCCGACAACGGTACGTGCACGAGTAGCATTTCCGACAACGGTACGTGCACGAGTAGCATTTCCGACAACGGTACGTACACGAGTAGCATTTCCGACAACGGTACGTGCACGAGTAGCATTTCCGACAACGGTACGTGCACGAGTAGCATTTCCGACAACGGTACGTGCACGAGTAGCATTTCCGACAACGGTACGTGCACGAGTAGCATTTCCTGCGTAGATCAATGCTGGGGTTCCCATCTATCCTTAGTTTATTATGTCTGTTAAGCATTGATTGAAATAACCACGTGTATTGGTCACTGGGGAGAGGTTTCAAGGTAGCTGGGCAGCCCATTTGTGACAACGGTATGTTGTAGCATACCCTGTAGCAGTAGCAGAGCGAGTCTCTTTTGTAATTCGGTGGTGGGGATAGAGGAAAAAGAGGGGCAGGGTGTGTTCTTTTGCTCACCAAAACCAACACTCTCTTCTCTCCCTTCCTTTTCTTCTGTCTCACCCACCTAGCAACATACCTTGTGGCTGTAGCAGTGGTGTCTGATAATCACAAATTTTGAGGGCCCCGTGCGTCCCCTCACCAGAGCCGTCCCTTCTCCTCTCTCCCTTCCATTGCCCCCTTCCTCTTCCCCTTGTTCTCCCGCTAACAACAAACAGACCTGGTGGCGGCAGCAGTGCTTTCTGGTAACCGCAACTTTGAGGGTCGTGTGCATCCTCTTACGAGGGCCAACTACCTTGCATCCCCACCCCTCGTTGTGGCATACGCACTCGCTGGCACGGTGAGCAGGGGTGTATCATGTGCTTCTATCATGGGTGTGTAGTGTGTGTGTGTGTGTTTGTCCTGTATCAACCCTACCTCACCACATCGCTTGGAGCATGCTGACTTGCTTCGCGCTCTTTTTTTTTTTTTTTTGTTAGAAAGTCCTCACCAGAGCTAACTTGTTACACGCGCGCTTGGTTCACTCATGCCGTGTGAACAGAAACCTCACCAGGCCATACCAAACCATCGATTTCCTCCCCTCTTTCTCTCCTGGCGCACATGGTTTATCCGTTCACAACATGACAATGTTTTCAGGTGGACATTGACTTTGAAACGGAGCCCGTCGGCACGGACAAGGACGGCAAGGAGGCGTTCCCGAAAGACATTTCCGTTCCCTCCCACATGCACATGGTTCATTCACATCATGACAATCCTCTCAGGTGGACATTGACTTGGAGACGGAGCCCATCGGCACGGTCACGGACGGCAAGCTGGTGTTCCTCCGAGACATCAGTCGACGCAAGCTTCACCCGGCTCTACTATGTCGCTCCCTCTCTTTCTACCCTGCATGCATGGTTCATCCATCCATCTCAGGTGGACATTGACTTGGAGACGGAGCCCATCGGCACGGTCACGGACGGCAAGCTGGTGTTCCTCCGAGACATCAGTCGACGCAAGCTTCACCCGGCTCTACTATGTCGCTCCCTCTCTTTCTACCCTGCATGCATGGTTCATCCATCCATCTCAGGTGGACATTGACTTTGAGACGGAGCCCATCGGCACGGACAAGGAGGGCAAGGAGGTGTTCCTGAGAGACATCTGGCCCAGCAACGAGGAGGTGGCAGAGGTGAGTGTGTGCATCAGAACGTGAGGTGTGTAAAATTCATATCTGCATGAATGGAGGGCTCACAAGGCACGTTTTGAAGTGCCTCAGAACTCTGTAAGTCATGGCAGCAACGCCCTGTCCACCTGCTTCCTTTCCTAGTTTCCAATCCTTATTTCCTCCTAGTCATATTTCCTAAAACCTCCAGCCCTAACCCCTTCAGCCTTCAGGTGCTGGAGAGAGCAGTTCTGCTGCATTTCTTCCAGTCGGTGTAAAAGACAATAGGAGGTCTTTTAGGCGCCTCAAAAGTTCAGCCTTCAGGTGGTAGAGACAGCAGTTCTGCTGCATTACTTCCAGTCGGTGTAAAAAACAATGGGAGCCCGCCACTAACGCCATGACCCCTGCTTTTTGCCCTCTCTTCCAGTATATGATCCCCACACCTCTGCATCTCTAATCCCTTCAGGTGGTGGAGAGAGCAGTTCTTCTGCATTTCTTCCAGTCCGGTGTAAAAGACAATGGGAGGTTGCCACCAACAAGATAGTTTTTGAGAATTCTCAAAAACCATTTCTTCCAGTCAGTGTGGAAGACAATGGGAGGCCGCCACCAACGCCATGTCCCCTGCTTTTTGCCCTCTCTTCCAGTATATCATCCCCACACACTCTGTATCTCGAATCCCTGCAGGTGGTGTAGAGGGCAGTGCTGCCGCCATTTTTCCAGTTGGCGTACAAGGCAGTGAAGGAGGGCGCCACCAACGCCCGCTTCAACCCCTCATCACCCCTCTGTTCCCTATCTACACTTCTAAACCCCGAACTTAAAACCCTGGCAGGTGGTAGAGAGGGCGGTTCTCCCTCAGTTTTTCCAATCGGTGTACAAGGCAGTGAAGGAGGGCGCCGCCAACGCTCTCTTCAAACACTCACCACCCCTCTGTTCCCCATCTTCACCACTTTAAACCGCTCCAGGTGGTGGAGAGGGCGGTTCTTCCTCAGTTTTTCCAGTCAGTCTACAAGGCAGTGAAGGAGGGCGCCACCAACACCCTCTGGAACAGCTGCCTGTGTGCCGTTGCCCACATATAAACCTCCAACTTTAAAACCCGAACTCCAACCCCTGGCAGGTGGTGGAGAGGGCGATTCTCCCTCAGTTCTTCCAGTCGGTCTACAAGGCAGTGAAGGAGGGCGCCACCAACGCCCTCTCCAATTCCCCATCACTCCTCTGTTCCCATCTTCACCACTCTAAACCGCTCCAGGTGGTGGAGAGGGCGGTCCTCCCTCAATTCTTCCAGTCAGTCTACAAGGCAGTAAAAGAGGGCGCCACCAACGCCCTCTGGAACAGCCTGCCTTCGGAGAACGAGCCTCTGTACTGCTGGGAACCGTCCTCCACCTACATCCACGACCCGCCTTACTTCAAGAACTTCCCCCGTGACCCCCCCGGTGGCAAGGACGTGAAGGACGCCTTCTGCCTGCTGAACGTGGGCGACTCTATTACAACTGATCACATCTCTCCTGCAGGTCGGTACAAACAGCAGGATTTAGGGGTTATAAGGGTTTTTTCTGGGTAGAGGCACCGGGGTTATGGGACCCCCGTTTTCTCCTCCCCCTCGTCCACCTGCTGTACCGCTGGGAACCGTCCTCCACCTACATCCACGACCCGCCCTACTTCAAGAACTTCCCCCGCAACCCCCCTGGTGGCAAGGACGTGAAGGACGCCTTCTGCCTGCTGAATCTTGGGGAAACGACTTCAACTCGTATGGTAGCAGGCGGGGCAACGACGTGGTCATGACTCGTGGCACGTTTGCCAACATTTCTGTCCCCAACTCCCACCCTGTGCTCCCTTCTGTGCTGCTCCCTGTGCGACTCGTTGGGCACCCCCCTCTGCCTCCCCTCCTTCCATCACAGCAGGGAGCATCCACAAGGACAGTGCTGCAGCCAAGTATCTCACGGAACGTGGTGTGGCCCGAAAAGACTTCAACTCGTATGGCAGCAGGCGGGGCAATGACGAGGTCATGACCCGCGGCACATCCTTGTACCCCTCCCTGTGCCCTTGTGCCCTTCCCCGTGCCCCTCCCTCTTGGTGCTGCAGGGAGCATCCACAAGGACAGCGCTGCAGCCAAGTATCTAAGAGAGAGAGGGGTGGCCCGGAAGGACTTCAACTCTTACGGCAGCAGGCGGGGCAACGACGAGGTCATGACCCGCAGCACGTTTGCCAACGTCCGGCTGGTGAACAAGCTTGCTGGAGAGGAGGTGGCATTGAGGGACGGCCCTTACTCTACCTCGTTCCCCACTTCCTCTCCTTCCACTTGTTCTCTACCCCCCGCTGCCTCCTCTCCCACACACACCAGGGAGCATCCACAAGGACAGTGCGGCAGCCAAGTACCTCACAGAAAGGGGGGTGGCACGAAAAGACTTCAACTAGTACGGCAGCAGGCGGGGCAACGACGAGGTCATGACCCGCGGCACGTCCTCATGCCCGTCCCCATGCCCCTCCCTGTGCCTTTCCCTGTGCGCCTGTGCCTTTCTCTATGGCCTCCCCTCTCTATGCTCCAGGAAGCATCCACAAGGACAGTCCTGCAGCCAGGTATCTCACAGAGAGAGGCGTTCCCAGGAAGGACTTCAACTCGTATGGCAGCAGGCGGGGCAACGACGAGGTCATGACTCGCGGCACATTTGCGAATATCCGGCTGGTGAACAAGCTTGCTGGAGGGGAGGTGGGCCCCAAGACGGTGCACCTGCCTTCTGGAGAGAAGATGAGCGTCTTCGATGCTGCCATGGTGAGTTGATAGGGTTACCAGCAGGGAGGGATAGAGTTGGCAGGGGCCGAGTATGGGAGTGGCTCATCCTAAGGCTGGCACACTTACTGTCACTGTCGACCTAACTGTCACACTCACACTCACTCTCACTGTCACTGTCACTGCCACTGTCCAATGTCTGTCTGTACTGTATGTGTCTTAGCTCCCTTTGTGTGCCCGTGAGCAGAAATACAAGGCGGAGGGCCACCCCACCGTCTTGTTGGCAGGGCCAGAGTATGGAAGCGGCTCTTCCCCGTGACAGTCACACTCACAGTCACTGTCCCTGTCACTGTCACTGTCACTGTCACTGTCACTGTCACTGTCGTGTCCAATGTGTGTCTGTTTGTGTCTCTCTCTCCCTCTGTGTGCCCACAAGCAGAAGTACAAGGCGGAGGGCCATCCCACAATCATGCTGGCAGGGGCGGAGTATGGAAGCAGCTGTCACACTCACACTCACACTCACACTCACACTCACTGTCACTCTCGTGTCCATGTTTCTTTGCTCCCTCTGTGTGCCCGTGAGCAGAAGTACAAGGCGGAGGGCCATCCCACGATAGTCCTGGCAGGGGCCGAGTATGGCGTTTACTCGTCCTGTGACTGTCACTGTCACCTAGTCATTATCCATTTTGTCTCTCTATCTGTCTCTGTCTGTCCGTCTGCATGTGTCTCTCTCCTGTTGTGTGCTCACGAGCAGAAGTACAAGGCCGAGGGGCATCCCACCATCGTGCTGGCAGGGGCAGAGTATGGGAGTGGCTCTTCTCGTGACTGGGCTGCCAAGGGGCCGTACCTGCAGGTATGGGAATGAACTGTGAGGGTGAAAGCTCGTAAATGCAAGGGTGTGCTTGATTGTATGATTGAGTGTGTGATTTTGAGGTTTATTTTTAGAGTCTCTTCTGAGCATACCCACCACTGAACCTGCTGGGGATGGGCATCATCCCACTCTGCTTCAAGTCCTTCCACTCTCTTTCCCTCTGCTCCTTGCGTTGACTCCTCCCAGGGAGTGCGAGCCGTCATCTCTGTCTCATTCGAGCGCATTCACCGCAGCAACCTGGTGGGAATGGGCATCATCCCCCTCTGCTTCAAGCCGTCCCTCTCTCTTTCCCTCCCTGCTCCTGCCTTGTCTTCTCCCAGGGAGTGCGGGCGGTGATTTCCGTCTCCTTTGAGCGCATTCACCGCAGCAACCTGGTGGGAATGGGCATCATCCCGCTCTGCTTCAAGCCCGGCCAAAACGCCGAGACGCTGGGGCTGACTGGCAAGGAGCGATTCTCCTTCTCCCTGCCGCCAGTGGATCAGATCCAGCCCGGGCAGGACGTGGTGGTTTCCACCGACAACGGAAAGTCGTTTACCTGCACGCTGCGCTTTGATACTGAGGTGAGCATGACTGGCCGCACTTCCATACTGAGATGACGAGAGGATTCTCCTTCTCGCTGCCGCCGGTGGATCAGATTCAGCCCGGGCAAGACGTGGTGGTTTCCACGGACAGCGGAAAGTCGTTTACCTGCACGCTGCGCTTCGACACTGAGGTGAGTACCGTAGTCACGCAGAGTATACATGTGAAGGCCCGCAGGGAAGGAGGTGGAGGGTTGGTAGTGGATTCGCCTACTCCCTGCCGCCAGTGGATCAGATTCAGCCCGGGCAAGACGTGGTGGTTTCCACGGACAGCGGAAAGTCGTTTACCTGCACGCTGCGCTTCGACACGGAGGTGAGTACCGTAGTCACGCAGAGTATACATGCGAAGGCCCGCAGGGAAGGAGGTGGAGGGTTGGTAGTGGATTCTCCTTTTCACTGCCGCCGGTGGATCAGATCCAGCCCGGGCAAGACATGGTGGTTTACACCGATAGTGGGAAGAACTTCACATGCACCCTGCGCTTTGATACAAAGGTGAGTCGTGGAGACACTGGGCGTGTGTGTACATAGGCAGAGGGAGTGGGGCTACCTACACGTTTCGATTCGACAATGAGGTGAGTTGTGGAAACACACAAGGTGCTTATGTACAGGCAATGAGGGCATGAGCCAAGCAGTCAAGCAGTCATGAAGGCAGAGACTGCTTTTTTCGTCTCCCTGTCGCCAGTGGATCGGATCCAGCCTGGCCACGACTTGGAAGTGACTAAAAGTGAACCGAATCTTCCAAGTCAAAGTTGGTCTTGATGTTTCCGTGGTTTCTTTCTCCTGCTGTACGTGCAGCTCGAAAAGGCCTACTACAATCACGGGGGCATTCTGCACTTCGTGCTGCGTCAACTGCTGGCCAAGTCCACTGCTGCTTGAGGCGGTTGTTGAACAATGAGCTCTCTTATGGACGAACAGGATGGCCTATGCTGGAGAATTATGTCATGTTGAGCGTGCTGTTACAGTGCATTGGAAGGGTACATCTCTTGTTGGTGTTTCTTGTTGTGGTAACAAGGCTTGGGTTGGAGAATACTGGAAGCGAGCAGCATGAGACATCATGATTTGCATTGCACTTCATGCATTCATTGCTTCCTGTGTCCTTGTCTTATGGTTACATAGGTGACCGCTGATCATCATTCAAACATTAGCAACTGTTGAGAAAACTCAGCCTAACAGCTACAATGGGTGGGGAGGAAGTGAGATCCCATAAGGAAGATAGAGAAACAACATTCTCATAAAGCACCCTCTTCCTCACAAAAATCAGCACTGGTAAGAATGGAAGACAGCACAACAGACTCCACTCTATTGGGGCACAGAACAAACTGCTAGCAAGAAGAAAAAACCATAGATGCAAACAGGCACAGGGAAGTCACAACACCCTCTCCCAGTAGAATAAACCCCTGCCACCCTCTCTCAGTACCCATCCTGCTGTACCCATCCTGCTGCACCCTCTCTCAGGACCCATCCTGCTGCACCCCCTCTCAGTACCCATCCTGCTGCATGCGGCCCAAGCTATGAACCAAGGAAGAATCCTCCCTCACCAAGGTTATTAGTACACATACGGAATAAGCTTCTTAACTCTCGCTTTGTACTCCAGATACCGCTGCCCGAATTTCTCAATCAGGTATCCCTCTTCCGCTGTAGCCTTCCTGTCAAAGAGCACCAGCAGCAGAACCGTCATACTACCCCGTCCTGTGCTGTTTGTAAGGAGAGTAATACCAGATGCGATCAGTAACGCGCTACCGTATAACGGGTGACGCACTACCGCGAACAGCCCGCCAGTTTCGAGCTCCGAATCCGGCGGCGGCTTGGGGTAAGGCGAAAGATTTGTCCCGATATCTTTAGCCCCTTAGAAGATAACCAAACGCCAATACCCAGTAACGCGGCACCTATAACGTAGTTCAAATACCGGATCTCGCTCGGCTGAAAAAACGAGCCCGGGATGAAGTGAGAGAAGAGGAAATCTGGCGGGAATATGATGCCAGCAAATATCAGGAATTGAAGAACAACGTAAATCTCGCCGCGTTTTCCCCACTCGCCGTCATCTTTGAAGAAGTTGTCCCGAAGCTTCTGCCGACGCTGCTCGTCCGCGCTGAGAGCAGGTCCGGAGGCTGCCGAAGCTGGGTCGGAGGTTCGGGAACCAGCCTCGGGATCTCCACTGGAGCTGCTTCCCGGGGGAGACGGACCGGCGAATGGGAGAAGCGGATCGGTCTCGCGTTTGAAAGAGGTATTGTTCCGCATTTTCAGGGACTGCGGATGTTTCGGGTGATTGAGCGACTGTAGGAGCTGCGGGGAACCAGGCGCTGCGAACAATGACGGCGGTTTTCTATTACGAGAACTCGCAGATGTAGAAGTGACTGGGTTGAATCTGGCCGTATGACAAAGATAGATCGGGGAAACAACGCTGGAGGACAATATGAAGGACGACGGTCGATAACACGACGATGACGATGATTTAACGAAGGATCGCATCGGCGAAGTGGGGAAAACAATTGTGGTTACCGCCCGAGTAACCATCCGCAGTAAACTGTTGTGAAAAAGGAAGGGATCAGGGGCTTAGTGCAAGGAAAGGCGAGCGGTTGATTTATATCATGGAGCATATAACTGATCATGGACGTAAGGCGAGGTCTGATAAAGCAATGTCAGAATATGAAACGCGAGCTCAAGACTGGAATCCAAGAGGTGTTCTATGCAAGCCGAGAGAATATTGCTGCTGGGCTGGCGGGCACAACGAGACAGGAATTTGCCCCTGGTATGCAAGATTGGCGAGGCGAATTTGGCCATGTCGATTGCACGTGCGAAAACGCGGCAAACTATGCGAAATATTAGAGGTTCGCACTGGATGCTTTAGGAGAATTCGATTATACAACTACACCGAAGCTGGCTGACTGGTCAGAACCTTTATGTGTTTTTTTTTTTTTTTTTTCTGACTTCTCATTTCATTTCACTCCACACACATCACGCAACAACAGAAGTGCCCCAAAAGGTACTGCCTCCACTCAGTTAACACGACAAACGTGCTCTTCCTGGTTTTGAAAATTTATATATTTCAATTTTGCCCCTTAACCTCTTCATGAACTTCACCTCGGTCCTAGGTGGGGCTGGGAATTCCACTGGGAAGCTACATCAGAGCTCCAACCAACCCTGCACTAACAACTGGTACCAGACAAACTCTTATGCACAGCTCTCATATGCAGCTGTGGCAGATACAAGTCTGGCCATGGCTAATACATGTATGGAATGAGCTTCTTCGCTTTTTGCTTGTATTCCTCGTACTTAGGGCCATACTTATCAGTCAGGAATCCTTCTTCCACTGCTGCCTTCTTGTCGAACAAAATCAGCAGCAAAGCCGTCAAAATCCCCCGTCCTGTGCTGCATGTAAGGAGGGTTAAACCAGATCCGACCAGTAACGCGCCACTGTATATCGGGTGACGCACTATCGCGTACGTCCCGCCAGTTTCGAGCTCCGAATCCGTGGGCGGCTTGGGGAAAGGGGAAAGGTTCGTCCCGAGATCTTTGACCGCATTAGAAGAAAACCATCCGCCAATGCCTAGTAACGCGGCTCCAACAACGTAGTTTAAATACCAGACGTCGCTGGGTTCGAAAAACGCGAGAGGGAGGAAGGAAGAGAAGAGGAAATCTGGCGGGAAAGCGATGCCGGCGAATAGTAGCATCTGGATAACCACGTATTCTTCCCCTCGCTTCCCCAACTCGCCGTCTTTGAACAAATTATCCCGAAGCTTCTGTCGACGCTTCTCCTCCGCGCTGAGATCTGGTCCGGAGGTTTGGTTGTCAGCCTTGGGATTGTCACCGGAGCTGCTGCCTGGGGGGGATGGACCAGCGAATGGGAGAAGCAGGTCGTTCTTGCGATTGGAGGACAGGATTCCCCCCATTTTCGAAGAATTCGGATGATCGTGATAACTGCGTGGCTTTAAGTTAAGCTGCGAGGTAAGAGAGGTGGGGCCTGACGATGGGGCCTTGTTGCGGTCCCTCGAGTCTGGTCTTAACGCGGATACGGGAGCAGCCGCAACGGTACGAAGAGAAGCGTTCGGGAAAACGACGCAGGAGGATGATAACGGGGAGGTGGCTCGGCAACGCAGCGCCGTTCGCAAGCCAAGGAGCGTTCGCAGCGGCGAAACACCAATAACAGCCGTGGTACCCATCTCACCAAGCTGCTGTCAGAAAGGAAAGCAGCAGCGGCAGTGGGTAAAGCGAAGGACAAGATGCCGAGAAGAAATGGGATGAGTGCAACAGCAAGAGGACCGAGGAATATTGAGTGCGAATGCTAGTTAGATTTGAAGAGGCATTTATAAGAGGCAGAAAATAGGCTGGGCTCAAATTTGTTTCTTCCTCTCTCGCTGACGCATGCGAATGGGATTTGGCGAAATATGCAATCTCGTGGAACGTGCGACGGAAACTCGCGTGCTCGCGAAGTTCGCGCTGGAAACATCAGCACAGGGCAATTTCTGAGGAAGTGTCGCAGACATACAAGCTGAGATCAGAGAAGTTGCTTCGTTAGAGATTACAGCTACACTATAATGATTGCACACGATATACAGCACATTCATCCTTGCTATTATAGAAACCATCTATCTACCCCTAGTTAGACTTAACGGAAGAACGCGTCCTCCACCTCGCTTTCTGGGAATTGGGTGCTCTTTCACTCCAGAAGAGGCCTTGTTGTCGCTTCCCATTTCCTTGGCTTCATGCCTAGTCCCCGTAACTCCTTCCGTCTCACAATCACATTCAACCCCAAATTGTTTTTTTGCCACATCAGCTTCCGCGGCATCATTACCAGGAAGTGAATCGTCATTCCCCTTGGCCTGGCGTGTGCTCTCCACGTGCTCAGCAATGATTGCCAAGATTTGATCCCCGAACTGATCTGCTCGTCGTTGCCCGATGATTTCTGTCAACTGTGGAGGGAGTGGTTGAAAAGCGAAATAGAAACGTTACAACAATAGCCAAGGAAGGAGTCACACCATTCATATATTTAAAAGAATAATGTGTGTTGCACATGTATGTTTTCTGAAGGTGGGCAAGTGGGTGATTGTGAGCAGTGTACCACTGTGATTAAAACAAAAGTGGCCAATACCTGAGGCAAGGTTGTTGGCTTGGCTGATATAACACAAAGGACCGTTTGAGAGAGCGAAGAGATGGTGTGAGGACAGCACAGCATGGGGGAACAACCCGCCGTGTTGAGAGGCAACGGAACATTGTGGTGTGAGGAGGACCGTACCTGATGTACCTTGGAGTAAAGAAAGCCACACCTGATGCATAGAGGCTGGTTTCGACTGAGAGAGAGCGAAGAGGTGGTGCGAGGACAGCACAGCATGTGGGAACAGGCCGCCGTGTTGAGATGCAACGGAGCGACGCAATTGGTCGAGACGGCGGGAGAGCTTTGCGTCAGATGCAGCAGCGGCTGCAGTGGTAGCAGTGGTGTTGTTGTTGGTTGTGGTGGTTGGTGCAGTTGAAACGGGGTCAGCAGGAGGAGGACGATGGGTAGTTGTTGTTGCTTGTCTTTGGATGTCCATTGTAACGCACATCTGACCTGTAACGGTTTGTAGGCGATAGGGAGAGAACATTAGATATTGGGGATTTTTTTTTTTGTTTAATCAGTTGTTTTTCACGAAAGGGGAATGGAAGAGAAGCTACCAACGAATGAAAAAATGGTTTTGGCTGCCTTCCATTACTGATTGAGTTTTTTCTTTTGTAATCAGAGAAACCTTATCATTGGCTGGAATGTTACATGGGAAAGAGAGCCGCAACATCATTTGCTGGAATTTTACACAAGATACCTGATCAAGTCAGCTAACAACATCTGAGAAACCTTTCAGGCCACCGAAACACACCTGAATTCGCCTGAGAGACCACCTGGGCTCACCTGAAACCACCTGACAGATCTGACAGGCCACCTAAATTCACCAGTGAGGACGCGGTGAGCGTTGCGGCCCAAAAGCAGATAGGCGTTTGTGGCATACGGAGAGTGCTGAAACTCCTCCCTCTATAGTCACACATGCAAGTGCAAACACACAAGAGAAGGTAGGCATTTGTGGCGTATGGAGAGTGCTGAAACTCCTCCCTCTATAGTCACATATGAGGCAGTATGGGGAATGTGCACAAGCACATGACGCAAAAGCAGGTGGGTGTTTGTGGCGTATGGTGAGTGCTGAAACTCCTCCCTCTATAGTCACATATGAGACAGGGGGGGAATGTGCACAAGCACATGCCGCAAAAGCAGGTGGGTGTTTGTAGCATATGGTGAGTGCTGAAACTCCTCCCGCTATAGTCACACATAAGAGAAACCTCCATACCTCTAGGCTCTAATGTATACAATACGTACGCTGTACGGCATTGGAATGAGTACAGGAGCATTGCAAGATGTATTTTGATTGTAATAATTAGCCTACTCACCAGCACAGATGACAGGAGCAAATGCGTTATAAGCTGTTCCGTTGTCTCTTTAGAGATCGATTTCACCAACGAACCCCAACTCTCGGATTCCCCTTTCCCCCCTCCCTTCACACTCCCTCTCCCCACTCCTCCGCCTCCCCCTCCTCCCCCTCCTCCTCCTCCCCTGCCTCCTGCTCGCCATTGCTCTGTAAGCTGCAACAGTGTGAGAGATTTTTCCTTGGACGATTGGGTTTCTTGAACAAACTCGAGAATGGAACGAGCGTGAGGAGTTAATTCCTGCTGTGCTGTTCGTTCCGCCCCTCCTCCTCCCTGGCTGCAGAGGTCACACATGCCTGGGTGGGATGGATGCAGTGGGGTGGGGTGGGGACGGAAAGACAGACACAGGGACGAACTCGAGAATGGAACGAGCGTGAGGAGTAAATTCCTGCTGTGCTGTTCGCATTCCCTCGGCTCCTCCCCAAAGTGTTTGAAGATTGCTGAGCTTCGACAAGAGATGACACAGCAGCACACCACAGTACAGACTAATACCATGACTAACATCTGTCCACCAACCTTCACATTCTCTCGGCTCCTCCCCGAAGTTTCTGAAGATGGCTGCTCTTCCTTCGACATGAGATGGCACTGCACAGTACATTACCGCACCCCACTACACTCCACCGCATCACACCACACCACACACACCAATACCATGACTAACACCTGTCAACCACTGACCTTCGCATTCCCTTGGCTCCTCCCCAAAGTGCCTGAAGATTGCCGTTCTTCGACACTCACGGCGATTCTGTGGGAAGGGGTGGGTAGGGGTGGGCAAGAGGAGGGAAATCGGGGATGAGGTGAGGAAGGCGTGGGAAAAGACGAGTGGATGAAGATTGCCGTTCTTCGACACTCACAGCGATTCTAACGGGAGGAGGGAGGGGTGAAAAGGGGTGGGAAGCGGTGACAAGGTGTGAAGAAGGGCAAGAGGTAAGGAAGGGAGAGAGTGACTGAAGATTGCTGTTCTTCGACACTCACCGCAATTCCTTTGGCAGGAGGGAGGAGTGGGAAGGGGTGGGAAGCGGTGACAAGGTGTGAAGAAGGGGCGAAAAGAGGTAAGGAAGGGAGAGAGTGACTGAAGATGGCCGTTCTATGGCACTCACGGTGATTCTAACGGGAGGAGGGAGGGGTGGAGCGGGGTGAAAAGGGATGAAAATTAGTGGGACGGGATGGAAAGGGATGGGAAGGGATGGGAAGAGATGAGGAAGAGAGAGGAGTGCTGGAAGTTGACTGTCCCAACCAGCACTCAGTCACGGCACTGTATGGCAAAGGAGGAGGATAAAGCGGAAGGAGAAACGTGTGGAGTCTTCTTTGAGAATTCTCAAAAAACCAAGTTGAGTGTTCACGGACAGTAGTCATCCTTCACATCCTTGGTAGCATGAGCTGATGGGTTGCCTTAGCATGACCTCATGCTACTACTGACCGTTCCATACCCCACCCACCCACCATGGCATACTGCCCCGTGGCACACAGATTGATGAGCCCTGCATTCCCAGCGAGCAGCACAACTCCTACATCACTCTGCTCTGTATGAGCCTCCCATCCCACCCATCCGCCCCTCCCACTCACCATGGCATACAGGTTCATCAGACCAGCGTTCTCAGCAAACACCTCAAGTAATATCACTCTCATGTATTTGACTGCCCCGCCCACTTTGCACTCCCCCACCACTCCCCCACCCACTCCCCCACCCACTCACCATGGCATACCGCCCCATGGCATACAGGTTGATGAGACCAGCATTCTCCCGCACTCCACACCACGCATGTGCACCTGCTCACATGTACTTGCACATCATGCCACCCATCATCATATGTACTTGCACATCATGCCACCCATCATCATATCATATGCCCCCACTCACTCCCCCACCCACTCACCACTGCATACCGCCCCATGGCATACAGGTTGATGAGCCCAGCGTTCTCTGCAAACACCTCAAGCCCATATCTCACGCACTCCCTCCCCCACTCAGTCCCCCCACCCTCTCAACTCAACCACTCACCATGGCATACAGGTTGATCAGACCAGCGTTCTCTGCGAATAGCATCAGCCCATTTCCAACCCACTGTCTCACTCATTCCCCCAACCACCCACCCACTCCCCCACCCACTCACCATGGCATACCATGGCAATGAAACAAGTCCATTTCTCACTCACTCTCTCAATCACCCACCCACTCACCCACCCACTCACCATTGCATACCGCCCCATGGCATACAGATTGATTAGACCAGCGTTCTCTGCAAATACCATACTGCTCTGACGAAGAGAGAGGGGAGAGGAATAAAGTAGGTGGGAACAGGGAGAGGGGTGCAGGGAGTGTAGGTTTGAGGCGCCTAAAAAAAGAATCTCTGAAGGTTGATTAGACCAGCGTTCTCTGCAAGAACTGAGGCGCCTCAAAAATAGACTCCTCACACGCGGATTGTATGTCTCAAGATCTGATCAGACCTGCGTTCTCTGCAAATACCATGCTGCTCTGGAAGAAGGGATTAGGGAGAGGGAGAGGGAGAGGGAGATGGAGAGGCGAGTACGGGGGGGAAGGACGAACGACAATGAAGAGCAGAGGTGGGGTGTGAGATGGCTCAAAACAGCCCATGGCATTCCGGTTGATGCTGGCAGGGCAAGCAGAGAACAGCGTTCTCTGCAAATACCATGCTGCTCTGGAAGAAGGGAGGGGCGACGGGAGAGGGGAATAAGAGGGGGAAGGACAGAGGAAGCAAGACTGCTGAGACAACTAGAACGCAAAAGGGTTGATACCAGCAGGGCAGGCAGAGCTCTCTGAACATAGTTTTGAGACATCTAGTTTTGAGACGTCTGGTTTTGAGAGGTCTAGTTTTGAGAGGTCTAGTTTTGAGAGGTCTGGTTTTGAGACGTCTGGTTTTGAGACATCTGGTTTTGCGACGTCTGGTTTTGCGACGTCTGGTTTTGAGACGTCTAGTTTTGAAAACTTGATGCCAGCAGGGCAGGCCCAGCTCTCTGAAAATGCAATTCTGCCTGTAGAAAAGAATTGGACAGAGAGAGGAGAGACTCTTTTGAGACGTCTCAAAAGCCGAGCTCTCTGAAAATGCAATTCTGCCTGTAGAAAAGAATTGGACAGAGAGAAGAGAGATTCTCCCTACCAAAAGAAAGAAACTTACACGACTTTGGGAGAGGAGAGAGGGAACGAAGACAGAGAAGATCACCCTAAGACCCGTCATTTGCAGCAGCTGAACGCGCCTTAAAGGTGCCGAGGAACCTCACAAGCGTTGACGACTGTTGGCCCCGACGGTCTCGGGGCAGGTCAGCACATCCCCCAGCATAAGATTATGGGATAGGAGGAGGGATCCTCCACACAACATTCTGCCTCACCCTGCCTCACCTGTCGGGGCAGGTCGGCGCATCGGAAGAATAGAATGCAGCGCGCCGGCAGCCCAGCCCATCCCTCCCGTACCCGCCTGCTTCTTTTCCTGTCACATCCCTCTGCTCCTCGCCCCTTCCCTTAATCCCCCCCCACAACACCCTGCCTCACCTGTCGGGGCAGGTCGGCGCATCGGAAGAATAGAATGCAGCGAGGCAGCCCATCCCTGCCTGCCCCTCACCCCCAGTGGTTTCATTCATAGCTTCCCACTCCACTGTAACATCTTGTCTCACCCTGCCTCACCCTGTAACACCCTGCCTCACCCTGTAACACCCTGCCTCAACCTGTAACACCCTGCCTCACCCTGTAACACCCTGCCTCACCCTGTAACACCCTGCCTCACCCTGTAACACCCTGCCTCACCCTGTAACACCCTGCCTCACCCTGTAACACCCTGCCTCACCCTGTAACACCCTGCCTCACCCTGTAACACCCTGCCTCACCCTGTAACCCTGTAACACCCTGCCTCACCCTGTAACACCCTGCCTCACCCTGTAACACCCTGCCTCACCCTGTAACACCCTGCCTCACCCTGTAACACCCTGCCTCACCCTGTAACACCCTGCCTCAACCTGTAACACCCTGCCTCACCCTGTAACACCCTGCCTCACCCTGTAACACCCTGCCTCACCCTGTAACACCATGCCTCACCCTGTAACACCCTGCCTCACCCTGTAACACCCTGCCTCACCCTGTAACACCCTGCCTCACCCTGTAACACCCTGCCTCACCCTGTAACACCCTGCCTCACCCTGTAACACCCTGCCTCACCCTGTAACACCCTGCCTCACCCTGTAACACCCTGCCTCACCCTGTAACACCCTGCCTCACCCTGTAACACCCTGCCTCACCCTGTAACACCCTGCCTCACCCTGTAACACCCTGCCTCACCCTGTAACACCCTGCCTCACCCTGTAACACCCTGTCTCACCCTGTAACACCCTGCCTCAACCTGTAACACCCTGCCTCACCCTGTAACACCCTGCCTCACCCTGTAACACCCTGCCTCACCCTGTAACACCCTGCCTCACCCTGTAACACCCTGCCTCACCCTGTAACACCCTGCCTCAACCTGTAACACCCTGCCTCACCCTGTAACACCCTGCCTCACCCTGTAACACCCTGCCTCACCCTGGAACACCCTGCCTCACCCTGTAACACCCTGCCTCACCCTGTAACACCCTGCCTCACCCTGTAACACCCTGCCTCACCCTGTAACACCCTGCCTCACCCTGTAACACCCTGCCTCACCCTGTAACACCCTGCCTCACCCTGTAACACCCTGCCTCACCCTGTAACACCCTGCCTCACCCTGTAACACCCTGCCTCAACCTGTAACACCCTGCCTCACCCTGTAACACCCTGCCTCACCCTGTAACACCCTGCCTCACCCTGTAACACCCTGCCTCACCCTGTAACACCCTGCCTCACCCTGTAACACCCTGCCTCAACCTGTAACACCCTGCCTCACCCTGTAACACCCTGCCTCACCCTGTAACACCCTGCCTCACCCTGTAACACCCTGCCTCACCCTGTAACACCCTGCCTCACCCTGTAACACCCTGCCTCACCCTGTAACACCCTGCCTCACCCTGTAACACCCTGCCTCACCCTGGAACACCCTGCCTCACCCTGTAACACCCTGCCTCACCCTGTAACACCCTGCCTCACCCTGTAACACCCTGCCTCACCCTGTAACACCCTGCCTCACCCTGTAACACCCTGCCTCACCCTGTAACACCCTGCCTCACCCTGTAACACCCTGCCTCACCCTGTAACACCCTGCCTCACCCTGTAACACCCTGCCTCAACCTGTAACACCCTGCCTCACCCTGTAACACCCTGCCTCACCCTGTAACACCCTGCCTCACCCTGTAACACCCTGCCTCACCCTGTAACACCCTGCCTCACCCTGTAACACCCTGCCTCAACCTGTAACACCCTGCCTCACCCTGTAACACCCTGCCTCACCCTGTAACACCCTGCCTCACCCTGTAACACCCTGCCTCACCCTGTAACACCCTGCCTCACCCTGTAACACCCTGCCTCACCCTGTAACACCCTGCCTCACCCTGTAACACCCTGCCTCACCCTGTAACACCCTGCCTCACCCTGTAACACCCTGCCTCACCCTGTAACACCCTGCCTCAACCTGTAACACCCTGCCTCACCCTGTAACACCCTGCCTCACCCTGTAACACCCTGCCTCACCCTGTAACACCCTGCCTCACCCTGTAACACCCTGTCTCACCCTGTAACACCCTGCCTCACCCTGTAACACCCTGCCTCACCCTGTAACACCCTGCCTCACCCTGTAACACCCTGCCTCACCCTGTAACACCCTGCCTCAACCTGTAACACCCTGCCTCACCCTGTAACACCCTGCCTCACCCTGTAACACCCTGCCTCACCCTGTAACACCCTGCCTCACCCTGTAACACCCTGCCTCACCCTGTAACACCCTGCCTCACCCTGTAACACCCTGCCTCACCCTGTAACACCCTGCCTCACCCTGTAACACCCTGCCTCACCCTGTAACACCCTGCCTCACCCTGTAACACCCTGCCTCACCCTGTAACACCCTGCCTCACCCTGTAACACCCTGCCTCACCCTGTAACACCCTGCCTCACCCTGTAACACCCTGCCTCACCCTGTAACACCCTGCCTCACCCTGTAACACCCTGCCTCACCCTGTAACACCCTGCCTCACCCTGTAACACCCTGCCTCACCCTGTAACACCCTGCCTCACCCTGTAACACCCTGCCTCACCCTGTAACACCCTGCCTCACCCTGTAACACCCTGCCTCACCCTGTAACACCCTGCCTCACCCTGTAACACCCTGCCTCAACCTGTAACACCCTGCCTCACCCTGTAACACCCTGCCTCACCCTGTAACACCCTGCCTCACCCTGTAACACCCTGCCTCACCCTGTAACACCCTGCCTCACCCTGTAACACCCTGCCTCAACCTGTAACACCCTGCCTCACCCTGTAACACCCTGCCTCACCCTGTAACACCCTGCCTCACCCTGTAACACCCTGCCGCACCCTTTAACACCCTGCCTCACCCTGTAACACCCTGCCTCACCCTGTAACACCCTGCCTCACCCTGTAACACCCTGCCTCACCCTGTAACACCCTGCCTCACCCTGTAACACCCTGCCTCACCCTGGAACACCCTGCCTCACCTCACCCTGTAACACCCTGCCTCACCTGTCTGGGCAGGTCGGCGCATCGAAAGAAGAGAATGCAGCGAGCCGGCAGCCCATCCCTGCCCGCCCGCCCACTCTCCTGGAAAGAAAGAAAGAAAGAAAGAAAGAAAGAAAGAAAGAAAAGAAAAGAAAAGAAAAAACGGAAGTGGAGAAATGAAATGGAAGAGGCGGCATCCAGGAATTTTCACAGGAACCGGACAAGGCAGTTACCTAACAAAGACAAACCAAACATTTCAAGGCACTTCTGAAACAGTCGAATGAAATGAAATGGAAGAGGCGGCGTCCAGAAAGGCAGTTACCTAGCAAAGACAAACCAAACATTTCAAGGCACTTCTAGAACAGTCGGATGAAATGAAATGGAAGAGGCGGTGTCCAGGAAATTCCACAGGAACCGGACAACCTTTGAGGCACCTCAAGTATCCAGGAATTTTCGCAGGAACCGGACAAGGCAGTTACCTAGTAAAGACAAACCAAGCGGTTAAGGCACTTCTGAAACAGTAGGTTACTTTTGAGGCGCCTCACAAACGAAACGGTTAAGGCACTTCTGAAACAGTAGGTTACTTGGTAATACGTCTCTATAGACTTGCTGAGGGTATGGTGTATCACAAACCGAACTGCAGTGAGGGAGGGAGAGAAAGAGGGAGGAAGAGAGAGTGACAAGACCCTATGTTTCAAACTTTTTGTCGAACCCAAGATGCAGAAATATAAGCAAATGGAGAAAGGAGATGCGATAGGGAATGGATTCTCGAACCCTTAAAGAACGCATTTAAAAACAAATATGCACATAGAAAAAAAAAGGGGTTTCAAGTTATCAGCAAAGCAAGCAGGAAGACATGGCATACCATCAGGCTTGTTTATTCCCATTCCAAAAGCCACCTGCCATGACACCAGCACACACATGCATACAACATGCACATACATGGATGTTTCACAACTGATACAATCATGTACCCACCTAACATAATGCCACCTCACATAAAGACTGCACCGGACACACACAAGCAAACGGGCGGATGTTTATACATACGTATAGCAATAGCTTGTACATACGTATAGCAATAGCTTGTACATACGTATAGCAATAGCTTGTACATTCGTATAGCAATACCTTGTACATACGTATAGCAATACCTTGTACATACGTTTGCAGTCCCAACCAACCTTCCTCCCCATTTCTCTCTCTCCATCCGTTTACATCCTTCCTCTCTTTCCCCTCCTGCCCTTCCTTCCCCTCTTTCCCCCTGTTCCCTCCCTCCCCTAGTCACTCACAGTGCCCACAATGACTTGCACTTCTCCCCGACTCCAGCTGATTGGGAGGATTGGGTGGGTGGGTGGGTGAGAGTATACTGATTGGGGAGGGGGTTCAGGGAAAGAAATCGCTTTCCCTTCCATCCTCCCTGTCACTCACAGTCCCCACAATGACTTGCTCTTCCCCCCGACTCCAGCTGATGGGGGGGATGGGGGGGAATTAGGGGATGGGGTGGAGGCAAGGGAGGACGTGGAAACAGGAGGGAGGATGAGGAAATGTGAGAGGGATGGTTTAAAATAGGAGTAAGGGGCTAGTTGGAGAGTGATACTACCTTGTGCCCACACGCACTCACACTGCTCAGAGTGCGATAGGAGGGGTCTATGTCAGCAGGGTAGGTACTGTGTTGCTAATAGTGCTCGCACACTCACTGCTCCCTTCACTTATTTCCGACCCCCCCCTGCCTTAGGTGACAGAATAGCACACTCTCTGGTACCTGGCAGAAAAGCACACTCACTGGTCCCTGGCAGAATAGCACACTCTCCTCAATACCTCACATGCACGTGAGTGCGGTGGGATGGGTCCATGTCGGCATGGTAGTGCGCTGCTGGGAGAATTAATTGAGCTGTTCGCATGCCCCTAACCACGCATGTGCACACTGGCATGGCAAGGCCCCTTCCATACCTCACATGCACGTGAGTGCGGTGGGCTGGGTCCATGTCGGCATGGTAGTGCGCTGCTGGGATGCCACGCAGTGACAGCTCTGCTGCTACCTGAGAGTGATGGTGGGGGGAGGGGGGAGGTGGGTGGGGATAGGGGGGTGGTGCAACGACGGGATGGGTCCATGTCGGCATGTTGGTGTGGTGCTGAGAGCCTGTTCAGCGACAGCTCCCACGCTACCTGAGAGTGATGAAAGGGAGGGAGAAAGTAGGGATAGGGTGTGCCACGACATGCATGAGATGAATGCAATGGGATGGGTCCATGTCGGCATGGTAGTGTGCCGCTGGGATGCCATGCAGTGATAGCTCTGATGCAACCTCGGAAGGATGGGACGGGGGAGGTGAGGACAAGGGTGGCGCAACAGACCGGAGATGCGAGAGGGAGAGAGAGAGAGAATGAGAGTGCGATGGGATGGGTCCGTGTCGGCATGGTAGTGTGCCGCTGGGATCCCACGCAGCGATCACTCCGATGCTACCTGGGAACGATAGGAGCACAGAGGTGGGGAACGAAATGAAAGAAGCAGTAGACGATCCCAGGGTCTGAAGGAGCATGCATGGTGTAAGGAGAGCGAATGAACCGAACGAGAGACGCCACAGCAGACTATTAGACATGATCCAGCGAGCAGCAGTGGAGGAGAAAGTTTAGCAAAGGAGAAAACAGGTGTTGTCAGGGTCTGAAGGAGCATGCATGGTGTAAGGAGAGCGAATGAACCGAGCGAGAGACACCACAGCAGCTGTAGCATACCTGCTCTGCTCACACCTCACTTCTTCCCATCGTACCAGCTACCACCACAGTGTACCTGCTCGCACTCCTTGCGTGAGAAGCAGTAGACGATGCCTGAGTCCGAGGGAGCGTAGTGCTTCAAGATGAAGTGTGCAATAGACTCCACAGCAGGTGCTGCATACCTGCTCCAACCGCACTGTACCTATTCACACCGTACTTTCTCGCATCTTACCTGCTCCCACCGCACTGCACCTGCTCGCACTCCTTCCTCGAGAAGCAGTAGACGATGCCTGAGTCCGAGGGAGCGTAGTGCTTCAAGATGAAGTGTGCAATAGACTCCACAGCAGGTGCTGCATACCTGCTCCAACCGCACTGTACCTATTCACACCGTACTTTCTCGCATCTTACCTGCTCCCACCGCACTGCACCTGCTCGCACTCCTTCCTCGAGAAGCAATAGACGATGCCCGAGTCAGAGGGAGCGTAGTGCTCCAGAATGAAGCCTGCAATAGACTCTACAGCAGATGCAGCACCAGGCGGCTTCTCCCGCACCTGAGAGGGACACAGAGAGGGAAGGTATGGTTGGTACCAAGTCTGAAAGAAGGCGCACACAGTCACCTCCGATACAGTCACATCCAAAACACGCACCTCGTAGAAGAGATTGGGCCGGTTGACAGAGGAGACAAACAGCTCGCATCGCCGCATTTGAAGCATGTCCCTCACATCGTCCCTCACTCGCTCTGTCGCTGTTGCCTTGAGGGGGAGAGGGATGTTGGAGAGGCAAAGGGGGTATTGATCTGATCAGGTAGGGATGCTGGGACAAACAGCTCGCATCGCCGCATTTGAAGCATGTCCCTCACTCTCTCTGTTGTTGTTGCCTTGAAAGAAAGGGTGGAGAAGGGGAGACGGATGGATGGACAGAGGGACGTTCATTTGAGTGACAATTCAGTGCGAGAGGCAGGGTTTTGAGACGTCTCAAAACACTTCTTCAATTGCGAGAGGCAGGAAGCAAATAAGAATCGGCTTTGCAGTAAGCCACTCACAGCATCCCAGATGTCAATAAAAAAGGGGCAGGGGTGGTTGGGCGAAGAGTAAATCATATAGAGAGGCAGCCTTGGGGGAATATTGTTTCTTCATGGGCGTCTTGGGGCAGCATGGGCGTCTTGGGGAACTGCTTCTTCAGAACTGAGAGATGAGCATAGTCATAATCATGCCTTCACTAGACAGAGACACTGTAATGACTGAAAGGGGAAGGGCGAGCACTCACTGTGAGGGCGAGCATGGGCGTCTTGGGGAACTGCTTCTTGAGCACAGACAGATGTGCATAGTCAGGGCAGGGGACCCTTTCCCGCCCCCTCCCCCCCCTTAGCACTATGAGGTGAGGGCAGCACCACTATGAGAACAGCACTCACTGTGAGGGCGAGCATGGGCGTCTTGGGGAACTGCTTTTTCAGAACTGAGAGATGAGCATAGTGGGGTGGGGGGGCATGAGACCAGCACACGGTATAACTCATTATTCTCATAATCTTCTTTGACTGAGGAAGAAGCGGTGACTCACTGTGAGGGCGAGCATGGGCGTCTTGGGGAACTGCTTTTTTAGCACTGAGAGATGAGCATAGTCGGGGCGGAAATCATGGCCCCACTGGCTGCAGCAATGCGCCTCCTGATAAGGGAAGAGGGAGGAGGAGGGGTTGAACAGGGGTGTGGGGGAAAGTGAATGTGTAGGAGGGGCATAGTCAGTTATGCCCCCACTGGTTGCAGCAGTGCACCTCCTGAGTAGGGAAGAGGGACGAGGAGGGAAAACCGGTTACAGGGAGCCATGTGGTGGTTATTCCAGTATGGTTACCACTCGCATATCCACTCACATCACATGTATGGCAATCTGAGACTGCCTGGGGCATCCTCGTGGTACTTCTCTTCTCCAGTTTGGACATGAAGCGCTGCTTCTCGTGGTAACCGTGTGTGTGGTTACTGCCAGGTGCTTGAATCCCTGCCGCACTCACATCTATGGCAATATGACTCAGCCTCCCAGTGGAGTGGCACTTCTCCAGTTTGGACATGAACCGCTGCTTCTCGTGGTAACCATGTGTGTGGTTATTGCCAGTTTGGACAAGAACCGTTTGCTGCTTGACATGTGGTTACCACTCATAAACTCACTCACATCTATGGCGATCAATGAGAGCCTCCCAGCAGCATGGCGCTTCTCCAGCTTCGACACCAACCGCTTGCTCCTCGCCACCTTCTCAGAAATGGGTTGTTACTTCCTGTATGGTTACCACGTGGTTACCACTCACATCTATAGCGATTAGACTCAGTCGCCCAGCAGCGTGGCACTTCTCTAGTTTGGACATGCATCGGTTGCTGCTCGCCACCTTCTCAGGAGTCACATATAGCAGCTTCACTGAGGTGTGATCATCATGTGGTTACCATGTGGTTACCATGTGGTTTCCATGTGGTTACCATGTGGTTACCATGTGGTTTCCATGTGGTTACCATGTGGTTACCATGTGGTTTCCATGTGGTTACCATGTGGTTTCCATGTGGTTACCATGTGGTTTCCATGTGGTTACCATGTGGTTTCCATGTGGTTACCATGTGGTTTCCATGTGGTTTCCATGTGGTTACCATGTGGTTTCCAGGTGGTTACCATGTGGTTTCCATGTGGTTTCCATGTGGTTACCATGTGGTTACCATGTGTGCATGGTTCTGTGTGGCTTTTGCATGCCTACACTCACATCAATAGCGATTAAACTCAATCGGCCAGCAGCGTGGCACTTCTCCAGTTTGGACATGAACCGCTTGCTCCGCGCCACCTTCTCAGGAGTCACGTACAGCAGCTTCAGCCCTGCTGCTGCTGCTCCTGCTGCTTCTGCTGCTGTTGCTTCTGCTCTCCCCTCGCCTTCTCCCTCCTCTTTTTCCCTCCTCCCGTACTCTTCCCCCCACTCTTCCTCCTCCTCCCTCTCCTCCTCCTCCTCGTCACCTCTCTTCCGCTTTCCTTTCCCTCTTCCTCCTCCTCCTGCTCTCCCCCTCCCCCTCCCTCTACCCGGTTTTCCTGCCACGCTCTTCCCTCTCCCTCTCCCCCCTCCCCCCTTCGCACTCCCCCGTCCCCTTCCCCTTCCCCCTCCGCCACTCCCCCCCACCCCTTCCCCATGCTCCAGAGTAGCATAAATCAGCTTTTCTTCTTCTTTGGACGTTGTAGATGTGAGCATGGCCGCTGGCACACCGAAGCCTGAGAGGCACATGACCTGTGTGATAGAGTGTGGGTGGGGTGGTGAAGAGAGGCACAGATTGCTCGCTCCTCCTCTTTGCACGATGTAGATGTGAGCATGGCTGCTGGCACACCGAAGCCCGATAGACACATGACCTGTGTATGGGGGAGGGGCAAGAGAGAAGAAGGCAGTCAGAGTAGCATAGATCGCCCGCTCCTCCTCTTCCTTGGACGTTGTAGCATAGATCGCCCGTTCCTCGTCTTTGGAGGTTGTCGATGTGAGCATGGCTGCTGGCACACCGAAGCCGGACAGATACATGACCTGTGTATGTCGGTGGGTGGGTGGGTGGGTGGTGGAAACAGGGAATAAGTAACCCACTCCTCCTTCGTCTTTGGACGTTGTAGATGTGAGCATGGCTGCTGGCACGCCAAAGCCCGACAGGAACATGACCTGTGTGTGTGGGAGGGGCAGGAGAGAAGAAGGCAGTCAACCAGAGTAGCATAAATCGCCTGCTCCTCCTCCTTCTCCTCATCCTTGGAGGTGGTAGATGTGAGCATGGCAGCTGGCACACCGAAGCCTGAGAGGCACATAACCAGTGTATGTGTGTGCGGGGGAGGGGCAAGTGAGCGATGAGTAGACAAAGAGTTTTTAGAGGGGAGCAGCCAATTAGAGTGTTATAGATTGCCCTTTCCTCGACGTTGGAGGTGGTAGTTGTGAGCATGGCTGCCGGCACACCAAAGCCCGACAGGCACATGACCTGTATGCATGTGTGGAGAGGGTAAGGGGAGTGGGGGGTCAGGAAAGCAGTCAAGCAGAGTATTATAGATCGCCCTTTCCTGGTCTTTGGACGTTGTAGATGTGAGCATGGCTGCTGGCACACCAAAGCCCGACAGACACATGACCTGTGTGCGTGCGGGCGAGGGCAGGAGAGAGGTGAGCAGTCAACCAGAGTAGCAGATACCACCCTTTCCTCCTCCTCTTTGGAGGTTGTAGACGTGAGCATGGCCGCCGGCACACCGAAGCCTGACAGACACATGACCTACTGGGGATTGGAGGGGGCAGGCACGAGGTGAGAAGTCAACTAGAGTATTATAGATCGCCCTTTCCTCCTCTTTGGAGGTGGTAGATGTGAGCATGGCTGCCGGCACACCGAAGCCTGACAGACACATGACCTACTGGGGATTGGAGGGGGCAGGCACGAGGTGAGAAGTCAACTAGAGTTTTATAGATCGCCCTTTCCTCCTCTTTGGAGGTGGTAGATGTGAGCATGGCCGCCGGCACACCGAAGCCTGACAGACACATGACCTACTGGGGATTGGAGGGGGCAGGCACGAGGTGAGAAGTCAACTAGAGTTTTATAGATCGCCCTTTCCTCCTCTTTGGAGGTGGTAGATGTGAGCATGGCCGCCGGCACACCGAAGCCTGACAGACACATGACCTACTGGGGATTGGAGGGGGCAGGCACGAGGTGAGAAGTCAACTAGAGTTTTATAGATCGCCCTTTCCTCCTCTTTGGAGGTGGTAGATGTGAGCATGGCTGCCGGCACACCGAAGCCTGACAGACACATGACCTACTGGGGATTGGAGGGGGCAGGCACGAGGTGAGAAGTCAACTAGAGTTTTATAGATCGCCCTTTCCTCCTCTTTGGAGGTGGTAGATGTGAGCATGGCCGCCGGCACACCGAAGCCTGACAGACACATGACCTACTGGGGATTGGAGGGGGCAGGCACGAGGTGAGAAGTCAACTAGAGTTTTATAGATCGCCCTTTCCTCCTCTTTGGAGGTGGTAGATGTGAGCATGGCCGCCGGCACACCGAAGCCTGACAGACACATGACCTACTGGGGATTGGAGGGGGCAGGCACGAGGTGAGAAGTCAACTAGAGTTTTATAGATCGCCCTTTCCTCCTCTTTGGAGGTGGTAGATGAGAGCATGGCCGCCGGCACACCGAAGCCTGACAGACACATGACCTACTGGGGATTGGAGGGGGCAGGCACGAGGTGAGAAGTCAACTAGAGTTTTATAGATCGCCCTTTCCTCCTCTTTGGAGGTGGTAGATGTGAGCATGGCCGCCGGCACACCGAAGCCTGACAGACACATGACCTACTGGGGATTGGAGGGGGCAGGCACGAGGTGAGAAGTCAACTAGAGTTTTATAGATCGCCCTTTCCTCCTCTTTGGAGGTGGTAGATGTGAGCATGGCTGCCGGCACACCGAAGCCTGACAGACACATGACCTACTGGGGATTGGAGGGGGCAGGCACGAGGTGAGAAGTCAACTAGAGTATTATAGATCGCCCTTTCCTCCTCTTTGGAGGTGGTAGATGTGAGCATGGCTGCCGGCACACCGAAGCCTGACAGACACATGACCTACTGGGGATTGGAGGGGGCAGGCACGAGGTGAGAAGTCAACTAGAGTTTTATAGATCGCCCTTTCCTCCTCTTTGGAGGTGGTAGATGTGAGCATGGCTGCCAGCACACCGAAGCCTGACAGACACATGACCTACTGGGGATTGGAGGGGGCAGGCACGAGGTGAGAAGTCAACTAGAGTTTTATAGATCGCCCTTTCCTCCTCTTTGGAGGTGGTAGATGTGAGCATGGCTGCCGGCACACCGAAGCCTGACAGACACATGACCTACTGGGGATTGGAGGGGGCAGGCACGAGGTGAGAAGTCAACTAGAGTTTTATAGATCGCCCTTTCCTCCTCTTTGGAGGTGGTAGATGTGAGCATGGCTGCTGGCACACCGAAGCCTGACAGACACATGACCTACTGGGGATTGGAGGGGGCAGGCACGAGGTGAGAAGTCAACTAGAGTTTTATAGATCGCCCTTTCCTCCTCTTTGGAGGTGGTAGATGTGAGCATGGCTGCTGGCACACCGAAGCCTGACAGACACATGACCTACTGGGGATTGGAGGGGGCAGGCACGAGGTGAGAAGTCAACTAGAGTTTTATAGATCGCCCTTTCCTCCTCTTTGGAGGTGGTAGATGTGAGCATGGCTGCCGGCACACCGAAGCCTGACAGACACATGACCTACTGGGGATTGGAGGGGGCAGGCACGAGGTGAGAAGTCAACTAGAGTTTTATAGATCGCCCTTTCCTCCTCTTTGGAGGTGGTAGATGTGAGCATGGCTGCCGGCACACCGAAGCCTGACAGACACATGACCTACTGGGGATTGGAGGGGGCAGGCACGAGGTGAGAAGTCAACTAGAGTATTATAGATCGCCCTTTCCTCCTCTTTGGAGGTGGTAGATGTGAGCATGGCTGCCGGCACACCGAAGCCTGACAGACACATGACCTACTGGGGATTGGAGGGGGCAGGCACGAGGTGAGAAGTCAACTAGAGTTTTATAGATCGCCCTTTCCTCCTCTTTGGAGGTGGTAGATGTGAGCATGGCTGCCAGCACACCGAAGCCTGACAGACACATGACCTACTGGGGATTGGAGGGGGCAGGCACGAGGTGAGAAGTCAACTAGAGTTTTATAGATCGCCCTTTCCTCCTCTTTGGAGGTGGTAGATGTGAGCATGGCTGCCGGCACACCGAAGCCTGACAGACACATGACCTACTGGGGATTGGAGGGGGCAGGCACGAGGTGAGAAGTCAACTAGAGTTTTATAGATCGCCCTTTCCTCCTCTTTGGAGGTGGTAGATGTGAGCATGGCTGCTGGCACACCGAAGCCTGACAGACACATGACCTACTGGGGATTGGAGGGGGCAGGCACGAGGTGAGAAGTCAACTAGAGTTTTATAGATCGCCCTTTCCTCCTCTTTGGAGGTGGTAGATGTGAGCATGGCTGCTGGCACACCGAAGCCTGACAGACACATGACCTACTGGGGATTGGAGGGGGCAGGCACGAGGTGAGAAGTCAACTAGAGTTTTATAGATCGCCCTTTCCTCCTCTTTGGAGGTGGTAGATGTGAGCATGGCTGCCGGCACACCGAAGCCTGACAGACACATGACCTACTGGGGATTGGAGGGGGCAGGCACGAGGTGAGAAGTCAACTAGAGTTTTATAGATCGCCCTTTCCTCCTCTTTGGAGGTGGTAGATGTGAGCATGGCTGCCGGCACACCGAAGCCTGACAGACACATGACCTACTGGGGATTGGAGGGGGCAGGCACGAGGTGAGAAGTCAACTAGAGTTTTATAGATCGCCCTTTCCTCCTCTTTGGAGGTGGTAGATGTGAGCATGGCTGCTGGCACACCGAAGCCTGACAGACACATGACCTACTGGGGATTGGAGGGGGCAGGCACGAGGTGAGAAGTCAACTAGAGTTTTATAGATCGCCCTTTCCTCCTCTTTGGAGGTGGTAGATGTGAGCATGGCTGCCGGCACACCGAAGCCTGACAGACACATGACCTACTGGGGATTGGAGGGGGCAGGCACGAGGTGAGAAGTCAACTAGAGTTTTATAGATCGCCCTTTCCTCCTCTTTGGAGGTGGTAGATGTGAGCATGGCTGCCAGCACACCGAAGCCTGACAGACACATGACCTACTGGGGATTGGAGGGGGCAGGCACGAGGTGAGAAGTCAACTAGAGTTTTATAGATCGCCCTTTCCTCCTCTTTGGAGGTGGTAGATGTGAGCATGGCTGCCGGCACACCGAAGCCTGACAGACACATGACCTACTGGGGATTGGAGGGGGCAGGCACGAGGTGAGAAGTCAACTAGAGTTTTATAGATCGCCCTTTCCTCCTCTTTGGAGGTGGTAGATGTGAGCATGGCTGCCGGCACACCGAAGCCTGACAGACACATGACCTACTGGGGATTGGAGGGGGCAGGCACGAGGTGAGAAGTCAACTAGAGTTTTATAGATCGCCCTTTCCTCCTCTTTGGAGGTGGTAGATGTGAGCATGGCTGCCGGCACACCGAAGCCTGACAGACACATGACCTACTGGGGATTGGAGGGGGCAGGCACGAGGTGAGAAGTCAACTAGAGTTTTATAGATCGCCCTTTCCTCCTCTTTGGAGGTGGTAGATGTGAGCATGGCTGCTGGCACACCGAAGCCTGACAGACACATGACCTACTGGGGATTGGAGGGGGCAGGCACGAGGTGAGAAGTCAACTAGAGTTTTATAGATCGCCCTTTCCTCCTCTTTGGAGGTGGTAGATGTGAGCATGGCTGCCGGCACACCGAAGCCTGACAGACACATGACCTACTGGGGATTGGAGGGGGCAGGCACGAGGTGAGAAGTCAACTAGAGTTTTATAGATCGCCCTTTCCTCCTCTTTGGAGGTGGTAGATGTGAGCATGGCTGCCGGCACACCGAAGCCTGACAGACACATGACCTACTGGGGATTGGAGGGGGCAGGCACGAGGTGAGAAGTCAACTAGAGTTTTATAGATCGCCCTTTCCTCCTCTTTGGAGGTGGTAGATGTGAGCATGGCTGCCGGCACACCGAAGCCTGACAGACACATGACCTACTGGGGATTGGAGGGGGCAGGCACGAGGTGAGAAGTCAACTAGAGTTTTATAGATCGCCCTTTCCTCCTCTTTGGAGGTGGTAGATGTGAGCATGGCTGCCGGCACACCGAAGCCTGACAGACACATGACCTACTGGGGATTGGAGGGGGCAGGCACGAGGTGAGAAGTCAACTAGAGTTTTATAGATCGCCCTTTCCTCCTCTTTGGAGGTGGTAGATGTGAGCATGGCTGCCGGCACACCGAAGCCTGACAGACACATGACCTACTGGGGATTGGAGGGGGCAGGCACGAGGTGAGAAGTCAACTAGAGTTTTATAGATCGCCCTTTCCTCCTCTTTGGAGGTGGTAGATGTGAGCATGGCTGCCGGCACACCGAAGCCTGACAGACACATGACCTACTGGGGATTGGAGGGGGCAGGCACGAGGTGAGAAGTCAACTAGAGTTTTATAGATCGCCCTTTCCTCCTCTTTGGAGGTGGTAGATGTGAGCATGGCTGCCGGCACACCGAAGCCTGACAGACACATGACCTACTGGGGATTGGAGGGGGCAGGCACGAGGTGAGAAGTCAACTAGAGTTTTATAGATCGCCCTTTCCTCCTCTTTGGAGGTGGTAGATGTGAGCATGGCTGCCGGCACACCGAAGCCTGACAGACACATGACCTACTGGGGATTGGAGGGGGCAGGCACGAGGTGAGAAGTCAACTAGAGTTTTATAGATCGCCCTTTCCTCCTCTTTGGAGGTGGTAGATGTGAGCATGGCTGCCGGCACACCGAAGCCTGACAGACACATGACCTACTGGGGATTGGAGGGGGCAGGCACGAGGTGAGAAGTCAACTAGAGTTTTATAGATCGCCCTTTCCTCCTCTTTGGAGGTGGTAGATGTGAGCATGGCTTCTGACACCCCAAAGCCTGAGAGGCACGTGACCTAGGGGGGGGAGAGGGGAGTAAGAGAGAGAGGTCATGAAAAGGTCCAGGCTCTCAGTGCTCCATTGGTCATGGACTCAATTCTCCATGCTCCAGCCAGAGTAGCATAGATCGCCCTCTCCCCGTCTTTGGAGGTTGTAGAAGTGAGCATGGCTGCTGGCACCCCCAAGCCGGACAGACACATGACCTGTGTGATAGAGTGTGGGTGGGGTGGTGAAGAGAGGCACAGATCGCCCTCTCCCCGTCTTTGGATGGTGTAGAAGTGAGCATGGCAGCTGGCACGCCAAAGCCTGACAGAGACATGACCCGTGTGTGTGGGTGGGTGGGTGGGTGGGTGGGTGGGTGGTGGAAAGAGGGGAGTAAGCAGAGGGTTTCCAGTGAGGAGCAGCCAAGCAGAGTGGAATAGATCGCCCTTTCCTCGTCCTTGGAGGTTGTAGATGTGAGCATGGCTGCTGGCACGCCAAAGCCCGACAGACACATGACCTGTGTGTGGGCGTGGACGAGGGACAGCAGAGGGCTGACGACAAGGGAGATGCCAGGCGAGAGCAGCGCAGGCAGCTGGTGGCACAGAGAGTCACACTGTTTACATGTACACTTGGTGTAATCACACAACACAACGACACACCTGGTCATGGATGAGCAACAGCAGAGGGCTGAGGACAAGGGAGATGCCTGGAGAGAGCAGCGCAGGCAGCTGGTAGCAGAGGTAGGCAGGGCAGGGCAAACTATATCCACTCACACTTGATGTAATTACAGCACATACTTTAACACTTTCTTGTAATCACACCTGATCGTGAATCAGAGAGAGCAAAGGGCTGACGACCAGGGAGATGCCTGGAGAGAGCAGCGCAGGCAGCTGGTAGCAGAGGGAGCCACAGTGGATGCATTTACGCTACGTAATGAAAGCAGCATATGTCGTTACACTAGATACAGTCACTCACCTGGTCGTGAATGAGTGACAGCAGAGGGCTGACAACCAGGGAGATGCCTGGAGAGAGCAGCGCAGGCAGCTGGTAGCAGAGGGAGTCACGTTGCATTGCATACGTTTACCCTTTGTTTTGTATAACAACTAGCACTACGTACCCACGCCCTACATATCACCACACCACAGACATACAATCACACACCTGGTCGTGAATAAGAGACAGCAGCGGGCTGACAACCAGGGAGATGCCTGGAGAGAGCAGTGCAGGCAGCTGGTAGCAGAGGCTCTTGCCCCCCCCTGCTGACATGATCACGAACACGTCCCTCTTGCACAGAACTGCGTTGATGATCTGACGAGGGAAGGAGGAGAGGAAGGACACGTGGGGGGAGAAAGGCGGGGCCGACAGGAGGGGGGAGAGAGAGGGGAGAGTGAAGAGAGAGCGGTGCAGGCAGCTGGTAGCAGAGGGTCTTGCCGCCCCCTGCTGGCATGATCACGAACACGTCCCTCTTGCACAGGACAGCGTTGATGATCTGAAGGGGAGAGGGGAGAGGAGAGAGTGGAGAGTGGAGAGAGGAGAATAATAAGGTCAGTGCGGAGGTAGAGAAGAAGGGCAGAGGCGCTGGCAGCTGGTAGCAGAGGCTCTTGCCCCCGCCTGCTAGAGGGAAACAGTAAGGTAACTGCAATGAGGACATTAGTGCTGATAGAGGGCAGCTGGTAGCAGCGGCTCTTGCCCCCGCCAGCTGGAATGATCACAAACGCGTCCTTCTTGCACAATACTGCATTGATGATCTGACGAAGAGAAGGGGGGAGGGGAGTAGGAGAGGTAAGAGAAGGGGGCCAACATGGTGGGGAAAGAGAGAGGAGAGTGAAGAAAAAGCAGAGCAGGCAGCTGGTAGCTACCCCCCTGCTGGCATGAGACGAACACGTCCCGCTTGCACAACACTGCATTTATTATCTGAACAAGGGAGGGGGAGGAGGGTGACAGGGGGGGAAACGAGAGGGGAGCGTGAGCAGAGAGCAGCGCAGGCAGCTGGTAGCAGAGGCTCTTGCCCCCGCCTGCTGGCATGATCACGAACACGTCCCTCTTGCACAGGACAGCATTTATGATCTGAAGGGGAAAGGGGGAGAGGACCAGCAATACGGAGGGAAAGAGAGGGGACCATAAGCAAGAGTTGATGATCAGAAGTGGGGAGAAGGGGAGGGGAGAGAGGAGGGGAGGGAAGAGAGGAGAGAGTGTATCTGCTTGCTGCCTCCTTACCTCCTTCTGCTGCGATCTGAACCGTCCGATCCCAAACACATCTCGCCCAATCGCAGCCGCCTGGCCGTCCCACTCAAAAGGGGCTTGCCACCTTGTCACCGATCCCAACCCTGTTGCACCTGCTCCTCCTGCCGCTCCTCCCCCTGCTCCTGCTCCTCCTGCTCCTCCTACTCCTCTTGACCCCCCCACACCCACAGCTACCCCTTGATCAGATTTTGCAACACCACCGTCACCACCACCACCAGCATTCCTATCACCTGCACTTTTGTTCTCACTCCCAGCTTCGTTATTAGCATTCGCGTTATTAGCAGCAGCCCACGCGGCTGCAGCCGCAGCCGACGCCTCTAGTCTGGAGTTAATCTCCTCGCGTCTCTTGATTAGCTGCTCCTGCTCCTCTAGCAGCGACTCGACCTCCTCCTGTATCTTCTGCAGACGTGCTTCGACGTCTTCGCGCTCATCCTCTAGCTCTAGCGCCAATCGCGGGTCCATCGGCCGGCTACCGGCGGAATTCACGGCGGGATCGACGGCGGGAGTACCAGCGGAATTTCCGGCGGGATTCCCTGCGCGATCACCGGCGCTATCACCGGCGCTGCCGGCACCGCAGCTTCGGGAAGAAATGCGCTCGCCGTGCTCGAGACGCTCCCACTGGTCGTCGCTCAGGTCAATAAAATCGTCCATTGTAAGCGACTAGCTGATCAGTGTATCCTATATGCCACCAAGGCTTTTGATTTGACTCGCCAGCATCACGAAAGGGTCTCGTAGTGCTACCTAATCATCCGTTACTGCGTGGAAAACGGTCACTTACGTGGCATGGAGTGCAGTGGGGAGCAGAGAGCTGTGAACAGGTGTGGGATAAATAGGTTCTATGCGGTTCAGTATTTCGTTTCCACGTTAACGTCAGGTGCGGATGGGAAAGTCCGCTCTTCAGCCAAAACTGTTGAACTATCGTCAAGTTCGCGCCTAGGGAATGCCGAATTCGAAATTTGGGACCTCTACATAATAAAAACGTGAAAGGTGTAGCTTCAGCAAGAACGTCATAGGAAACTTGTCTGTATTCTGAAACAGTTACTAAACGAGCATTTTGGTTCCACGCCTTGAACAGTATTCTCTAGACTGCACTCTGATCACGCCTCGCCTCCTCGGGAGGTATCTAGGAGGGTCTTTCACTGCATTTCAATGGTGCCTCGAGTCGAGTCCTAGAATTGCTGTTCCTGTCGTAGTGAGGCGTAGCGTCGAGTCGCCTTGACGAACATGACATAGGCGCGTGATATCTACAATAGGATATTCTGCTGCATTCCAGTAATACTTCGGTCGTTGGTTCTTAGATGGTTCCAGTGACTTGCGTTGACCTGCTTTGACCTCGTTGACCTTCGTTGACAGCAGTCGCCATGATGTTCTTAAAGGAGACGCGCCGCGTGATTTCTAGTAGAGGGTATATATCGTCGCGCTTGGTCTCATCGCACTTCGACCCATCGCGCTTCGCCTCGTCGCCGTCCGCAGAAAGCTCGGCATATCTTTCCGCTTTTAGCCTGATTCGTACCCTACCCTCTACCTTCCCCGGAATCGCTTCTGCTCACATTTCCTCTACCGGTCACCTTCCCCGTTCCGCGTGTCCTGATGCTTTCTGCAAGGCTTCTCCTTCCACGTGTCAATTAGCTGCTTCGTCCACGTGTCAGGAGATCAGCCCCGCGCGGCCCGCTGAAGCGCACCATGACTTCATTCGCGAACCTCTAGCCGGCTGCGAACGACCTACTGCTTCAGTTAATTGTCCTTATAACGCGTATTCACCTACCACGTCAAGTGCTGCTTCATTTTCCAGAAGCGCGCCGAGCAGACTCGGTTCACGTAATGGTTTCCATGGGGGATACGCGGGAACTACAGTACACCAGAACTCCAGTACTGACTGCAGTAACAGGAGGATTCAGCGGCGCGAACACCACCGTTACAATCACTTTCTATGGAGTCACATTCTTTCCAATTTTCCTGCTACAGTCACTCAAATCTCTACAGCAATTCCAGCTCGATTGCTTCATAATTCCCACCGTAGGCCTGAGGGAATGTCACTCTATGGCACCACCACACGCAAGCACAGGTCTTATATAGAGTCGCCTCAAGACTCTGTAGCGGGTACAACGAGAAGGCTTCACATTCACCACCATAAGCCTGGGAAGATGTCGTTTTACGATATGACGGTGGAGAAATACGCTGCGCTGCCGCTTAACACCCTGACACTTAGCCAGATGCTGGCTCAAGGGGAGGAGGCGCTTAAAGACCCCACTTTCATGGTGCGCAATGCACGGTGGGTACTTAGCTAAGTGGGTGAATGTGTGTTGGTTGGCGCTTAGTAAGTCCTTAGCTGCTCTTGCTTGCAATCTCTAGGGTTCTGCGTTGTTATTTCTCCCCTTTAGAACTTAATTATTCCCATTCCTGCCCCATGTGATTCCAAACCTCGCCCAGGTTCGTGCATCGGGAGATGCCTATTAGGCTGGCAAAACGGCTGATGGATCTGCAGTTCCTGCCGCACATTGTCGTCATCAACCCCCACATCAAGCAGGTGGGCCTCTAACATAATAGCTGTGGGTCTACAGTAGTGTATTGTACAGTGTATCGTACTTCGCTTATCACTGCCGCGAAGCGTCTGATGGATCTGCAGTTCCTGCCGCACATTGTCGTCATCAACCCCCACATCAAGCAGGTAGGGCTGCATCTATTACCTACAGTGTATTTTACAGCGTGTAGGCCTGCATAAGGGCTCCTACGTGTGTTTTACAGCGTGTAGGCCTGCATAAGGGCTCCTACGTGTGTTTTACTGCGTGTAGGCCTGCATAAGGGCTCCTACGTGTGTTTTACAGCGTGTAGGCCTGCATAAGGGCTCCTACGTGTGTTTTACAGCGTGTAGGCCTGCATAAGGGCTCCTACGTGTGTTTTACAGCGTGTAGGCCTGCATAAGGGCTCCTACGTGTGTTTTACTGCGTGTAGGCCTGCATAAGGGCTCCTACGTGTGTTTTACAGCGTGTAGGCCTGCATAAGGGCTCCTACGTGTGTTTTACAGCGTGTAGGCCTGCATAAGGGCTCCTACGTGTGTTTTACAGCGTGTAGGCCTGCATAAGGGCTCCTACGTGTGTTTTACTGCGTGTAGGCCTGCATAAGGGCTCCTACGTGTGTTTTACAGCGTGTAGGCCTGCATAAGGGCTCCTACGTGTGTTTTACAGCGTGTAGGCCTGCATAAGGGCTCCTACGTGTGTTTACTGCGTGTAGGCCTGCATAAGGGCTCCTACGTGTGTTTTACAGCGTGTAGGCCTGCATAAGGGCTACTACGTGTGTTTTACAGCGTGTAGGCCTGCATAAGGGCTCCTACGTGTGTTTTACAGCGCTCTGCAGGCCTCCCATGCTTCAATCCATCTACCCCCCATGCTCGTCTCTCCACCCCCTTTCTAGTACGACTCCCACCGCCAGGCCTTTGACATGCTCACTGCGTTAAGAGACATTCCAGCGAGCAGCAGTTTAGAAGGTTCTCCTTTGCTAAACCTTCTCCCTTAAACTGCTGCTCGCTGGAATGTCTCTTAATCACCTCTCCGCCCCCTTTCTAGCACGACTTCCACCGCCAGGCCTTTGACATGCTCACTGCGTTCCTCTGTGTAGAGCTTATCAACTGTGTGTGCATGCATGTGGCCCCACCCGCCTACATTCGTCACTCTCACCCTATCTCTGCAGCAGGTGTATGTCTCCTACCATCAGGCCGTTGATATACTCACTGCGTCGCCTGTATGGCTCTTTTTCATGTGCGTGTGTGTGCTTCCCTGTTCTTGAATGTGGCCCCACACACCCACATTCCCTTTCCCCCATGATCTGCAGGTCTACGACTCCTACCGCCAAGCCTTTGAAATGCTCACTCACTGCGTTCATCGGTGCGGCTCTTGTCATCATGTATGCATGTGCTCGCAACCCAACCACCCACCTCTCTCCCCCCCCCCCCCCCTTTTTCTGCAGGTCTACGACTCCTACCGCCAGGCTTTTGACATGCTCACTGCATTCGTCTGTGCGGATCATCTCAGCGTGTGTGCTTACATGTGCCCACACACACACACCCACATTCCCTTTCCCCCATGAACTTCAGGTCTACGACTCCTACCGCCAGGCCTTTGACATGCTCACTGCGTTTCCGGAGATCAAGACTCTTGAAGACAACGTGAAATTCACACAGATGCTCACCATGGTGCGTGCGGCTGTAGGTATAATTGGGGAAGCCTATAGTGGGTATACTACATGCTCAGTGCATTTCCTGAGATACAATCTGAAATTCACACAGAGCTCACATGGTGCGTGCGTGGTGCCGTTGTCAAAAAGGGGCACACTATAGCGGGTATACGTCTACATTGACCTGATTGACTTCACTTTGCTCACTGGCTTACTTGATCACCCCAATCCTCCCCACCTGTCCGTCCCTCCCTCCACCATCCATCCATCCCCTTGTGTGATGCATGCACCCACCTGGTGCCACGTGGCATGTGCTTCAGCCTGTAAACGACCACACGCCGCTGCTGGGAGTGCTGGCACGGGGTGTGACAGTGGGTGTGCTTCCCTTAGGCTGTCCCATATGCATACACTCCTCTCCACCCCTTCACACCACCATCTATCCCTGTGTGTGTGCATGTGTCTCAGCTTGTGGACGATCACGCGCCGCTACTGGGAGTGCTGGCACGGGGAGTGAGGGAGTGCTCCCCTTAGGCGGTCACACATACACACGCCCTTCTCCACCCCTCTCTACCCCACCCAATCACCATCCATCCCCTTGTGTGTCGCACGTTGCATGTGCCTCAGCTGGTGGACGACCATACACCGTTACCAGGAGTGCTGGCACGGAGTGAGGGAGGGTTTTACTTAAACTGTCGCATATACACACACCCCTCTCCACCCCACCCAACCACCACCCATCTCCTTTGTCTCAGCTGGTGGACGACCATACACCGCTACTGGGAGTGCTGGCACGAGGGGGTGAGGGAGTGCTCCCCTTAGGCTGGCACACATGCACACCCCTCTTTACCCCTCTCCACCCCTCTCCACCCCTCTGCTCGCCTTCCAAATCCCCTTGTGTGTGTCTCAGCTGGTGGACGACCACACACCCCTGCTGGGAGTGCTGGCACGGGGAGTGAGGGAGTGCTCCTTGCGGCCGCTAGTGGGAAGAGAGCTCGACCTGGATCCCTTTTTGGACAACATGTGAGTGGCTGTGGGTGTGACTGTATGCTGTGTTACTGTGCGAGTGATTGCTTGTGTGTGCGTTCACACAAGGGGCAAGACTCAAGAGGGAGTGCTCCCTGCGACCACTAGTGGGGAGGGAGCTTGACCTAGATCCTTTTCTAGACAACATGTGAGTGGCTGAATCTCGTTGGGTGTGCACTTTGTGCACACTTTGTACACACGGGGAGTGAGGGAGTGTTCCCTGCGACCGCTGGTGGGGAGGGAGCTCGATCTGGATCCCTTTCTGAACAACATGTGAGTGGATGTGGGTGAGTGTGTGGGTCACTGCTGTGGTGTGTGTTTGCTCACACAAGGGGAAAGAGTCAAGGAGTGTGCTCCCTGCGGCCGCTGGTGGGGAGGGAGCTCGACCTGGATCCCTTTCGGAACAACATGTGAGTCAGCATGGGAGCATGAGTCACTGTGTGTGACACTGCGACCACTCAAGGGGCGAGACTCAAGAGGGGAGTGCTCTCTGCGGCCGCCAGTGGGAGGGAGCTCGACCTACATCCCTTCTTGGACAACATGTGAGTGGCTGTGTGCGAGCGAGTGACTGTGGGTGACCATACGAGTCAGCCACTGCTTCCTTGTGAGTGATGTGCGATCACACAAGCGGCAACAGGGAGTGCTCTCTGCGGCCGCCAGTAGGGAGGGAGCTCGACCTGGATCCCTTCCTGGACAACATGTGAGTCGCTGTGGGAGTGACTGCTTCCTTATGTGTGCACTGGTGGTGCTCCTGGGAGTGCTGGCACGGGGAGTGAGGGAGTGTTCTCTGCGGCCGTTAGTGGGAAGAGAGCTTGATTTGGACCCCTTCCTGGACAACATGTGACTGAGTGTCTGAGTGACTGCTTGAGTGTGTGTGTGAACGCGTTCACACACGGGGCAGGAGGTCAAGGGGTGTTCTCTCCAGCCTCTAGTGGGAAGAGAGCTTGATTTGGACCCCTTCCTGGACAACATGTGAGTCACCGCTTCTCTCTGTGTGAGAATGTGCCGAGGATGCGGTCACAGGGGAAAGGGGAGGAGGGAGGGAGGAGGGAAAGGAGGGGTTGTGGAGTGAGTGAGTGCTCACTGCGACCCAGATCCCTTCTTGTACAACATGTGAGGTGCTGTGTGAGTGACTGACAGTGTGACTGAGTGTCTGAGTGACTGCTTGAGTGTGTGTGTGAGCGCGTTCACACACAGGGCAGGAGGTCAAGGGGTGTTCTCTCCGGCCTCTAGTGGGGAGGAAGCTTGATCCAGATTCTTTTCGTGGATAACATGTGAGTGAGCATTACCTGTAGGGTCATTACATAGCATCACAATAACTATCACTCACACATGATTCCGCACCACTTCTTCATCACTCTGCTCTTACCCATATCACGTTTTGAGACGTCTCAAAACTAGCTTCTGTAGCACAGGCTTCTGTAGCACAGGCTTGTGTATCACAGGCTGCGATCTCGGATCAGCCGTAAGGTCATCGCAGAGCATCACATCACACTCACTTACACATGCTTCCTAAACCAGCCCTCACCCCCTTCCACCACTCCACTTACCCTTGCCCATCTGTATCACAGGCTGCGATCTCGAATCAGCCGCAGGGTCATCGCAGAGCATCACATCATAAACACTCACAGGATTCCTCACCCCTAACCACCTCAACCCCCTTTCCACCACTCCATTTCCCCTTGCCCATCTGTATCACAGGCTGCGATCTTGAATCAGCCGCAGGGTCATCGCATGTAACTCCTCACCCCCATACCCTCCTCTTGAATATATAGACTTCTCGCATACACACTCTATTCCCTCTCCTCTCCCCATTCCACAGGCTGCGATCTCGAATCAGCCGCAGGGTCATCGCAGAGCATCACATGACACATGATTCCTCACTCACACATGATCACTCACCCCTCACCCTCCTTACACCACTGCACTCACAGGCTATGGTGAGGAGGCTATGGTTGCGAATCACGAATCAGTCGCAGGGTAGTTGCAGAGCATCACATCTCTCACACATGTTTCCTTAACCACCCCTCACCCCTCTTCCATCACTCCACCACTTTCCCCCCCTATCACAGGCTGCAATCGCGAATCAGCCGCAGGGTCATTGCAGAGCATCACATCTCAATCACTCACATGATTCCTCACCCCTCACTCCCTTACCCCCCCCTTACACTACTCCACTTACCCGTGTCTGTCGGTGTCACAGGCTGCGATCGCGAATCAGCCGCAGGGTCATTGCAGAGCATCACATCTGCCTGCAGCATCAACGGCCAGGATTTATCGGTGTCATCTGCTCCCAGGTGCATTCCGTCTGCCCCCAGGTGCGTTTCATCTGCTCTCAGGTGCTTATAACTGGTCAGAGGTGCGTTTTATCTGTGTTTCAACGGACGTGTCTCACTAGTCCCCCTCGTCCCGCAGTTCACCTCCCTCTCCTTCCCCCAGCCTTCCAGCTCTCCACGCAAGCAGTGGTGGACGCAACAGTCAAGCAGTGCACGGACGTGTCTCGATAGACCTCCCCTTCCCACCTCTCACCCTGCTGTCTCTCCCCCCACTCCCCCCACCAGCTCTCCATGAAAGCAGTGGTCAAAGCAGCAGTCAAGCAGTGCACGGACGTCTCTCGCCGCACCTTTGGCTTCTCTTACTCCCATCTCTCTGACTCCCCTGTCTCCCCTGTCTTTCCTCTCTCCCTACTCAGCTCTCCATGCAAGCGGTGGTCCAAGCAGTCAAGCAGTGCACGGACGTGTCTCGCCGCACCTTTGGCTTCTGCCGCTCTCACCTCTCCTCTCTTGATTCCCATCCCTCCCCCCTCTCCCCCCATCAGCTCTCCATGCAAGCGGTGGTCCAAGCAGCAGTCAAGCAGTGCGCGGACGTGTCTCGCCGCACCTTTGGCTTCTGCCGCTCTCACCTCTCCTCTCTTGATTCCCATCCCTCCCCCCTCTCCCCCCATCAGCTCTCCATGCAAGCGGTGGTCCAAGCAGCGGTCAAGCAGTGCACGGACGTGTCTCGCCGCGCCTTTGGCTTCTGCCCTGGATCCACCTCTCTCCTCCTCTTAACCCCCCACCTGCAACAGCTATCCATGCAAGCGGTGGTGGGCGCAGCAGTCAAGCAGTGCACGGACGTGTCTCGATAGACCTCCCCTTCCCACCTCTCACCCTGCTGTCTCTCCCCCCTCTCCCCCCACCAGCTCTCCATGCAAGCAGTAGTCCAAGCAGCATTCAAGCAGTGCACGGACGTGTCTCTCGCCGCACCTTTGGCTTCTGCCCTGATTTTGACGTGCATGGTGATGTGCACTCCACCTTCTGCTGTCCCTCCTTCCCCTCCTCCCCTTACACCAGCTCTCAATGCAAGCGGTGGTCGAAGCAGCGGTCAAGCAGTGCACGGACGTGTCTCGCCGCACGTTCGGATTCTGCCCTGAGTTTGACGTGCATGGGGATGTGCATTCCACGTTCGCTTACGTGCCCGCACATATCGAGTACATGCTGTTCGAGATACTCAAGGTATGTATGTGTATGTGTGTTGTGCTGTGTTGTGATGTGCATATGTGTGTATGCGCCGTGACTGTGAGTTTGACCTGCATGGGGATGTGCACTCCACCTTCGCGTATGTGCCGGCACACATCGAATACATGCTCTTTGAGATACTCGAGGTGTGTATTGTCCCAGGGTGTGCCGTATATACATCACACGTGTATGTGCTTATGTGTGTGCGAGTGTGCGTGTGGTGCTGCCCTGAGTTTGACGTGCATGGCGATGTGCACTCCACCTTTTCATACGTGCCGGCACACATTGAGTACATGCTTTTCGAGATTCTCAAGGTGGGCTACTGTTTACACCAAAGTGTGTCAATTCACCGCGTGTCAACTCAGTGTATGTCATGCATGTATGTGCACTCCACCTACGTGCCTTCACACATTGAATACATGCTGTTCGAGATACTCAAGGTGTGTTGATTCAACATGTATGGGTGATGCGTTCTGCCCTGAGTTCGACGTGCATGGGGATGTGCACTCCACCTCCGCTTACGTGCCGGCACACATCAAGTACATGCTCTTCGAGATTCTCAAGGTGCGTTCAATATGTATTAGAGCACTTCGTGTGTACATCATTCAAGTATGTGTGTGTGTGTGTGTGTGGTGTGTGTGTGTGGTGTGTGGTGTGTGTGTGTGTGGTGTGTGTGTGTGAATTTGAGTTCACTGCACATGGCGATGTGCACTCCACGTTCGCTTACGTGCCCGCTCACATCGAATACATGCTGTTTGAGATTCTCAAGGTGTGTTAGAGTCAGCATGTATCAGTGTTGTGCTGTGCCCTGGATTCGACGTCCATGGGGATGTGCACTCCACTCCACGTTTGCCCACGTGCATGCGCACATTGAGTACATGCTGTTCAAGATACTCAAGAAATGTATGTGTATGTGTGTTGTGCTGTGCCCTGGATTCAATGTCCATAGGGATGTGCACTCCACTCCACTTTTGCCCACGTGCATGCGCACATTGAGTACATGCTGTTCAAGATACTCAAGAAATGTATGTGTATGTGTGTTGTGCTGTGCCCTGGATTCAATGTCCATAGGGATGTGCACTCCACTCCACTTTTGCCCACGTGCATGCGCACATTGAGTACATGCTGTTCAAGATACTCAAGAAATGTATGTGTATGTGTGTTGTGCTGTGCCCTGGATTCAATGTCCATAGGGATGTGCACTCCACTCCACTTTTGCCCACGTGCATGCGCACATTGAGTACATGCTGTTCAAGATACTCAAGAAATGTATGTATATGTGTGTTGTGCTGTGCCCTGGATTCAATGTCCATAGGGATGTGCACTCCACTCCACTTTTGCCCACGTGCATGCGCACATTGAGTACATGCTGTTCAAGATACTCAAGAAATGTATGTGTATGTGTGTTGTGCTGTGCCCTGGATTCAATGTCCATAGGGATGTGCACTCCACTCCACTTTTGCCCACGTGCATGCGCACATTGAGTACATGCTGTTCAAGATACTCAAGAAATGTATGTGTATGTGTGTTGTGCTGTGCCCTGGATTCAATGTCCATAGGGATGTGCACTCCACTCCACTTTTGCCCACGTGCATGCGCACATTGAGTACATGCTGTTCAAGATACTCAAGAAATGTATGTGTATGTGTGTTGTGCTGTGCCCTGGATTCAATGTCCATAGGGATGTGCACTCCACTCCACTTTTGCCCACGTGCATGCGCACATTGAGTACATGCTGTTCAAGATACTCAAGAAATGTATGTGTATGTGTGTTGTGCTGTGCCCTGGATTCAATGTCCATAGGGATGTGCACTCCACTCCACTTTTGCCCACGTGCATGCGCACATTGAGTACATGCTGTTCAAGATACTCAAGAAATGTATGTGTATGTGTGTTGTGCTGTGCCCTGGATTCAATGTCCATAGGGATGTGCACTCCACTCCACTTTTGCCCACGTGCATGCGCACATTGAGTACATGCTGTTCAAGATACTCAAGAAATGTATGTGTATGTGTGTTGTGCTGTGCCCTGGATTCAATGTCCATAGGGATGTGCACTCCACTCCACTTTTGCCCACGTGCATGCGCACATTGAGTACATGCTGTTCAAGATACTCAAGATGCGTATTGTCTCAGGGTATGCATGTACACATCATGTATGTACGTGCATATGTACGTGTCGCATATCTCAAGGCATCGCAAGCCATCGCAAGGCACCGCAAGCTACCTCTGTAGATGCTGTTCGAGATGCTCAAGGTTTGTCCGTTGAATCAGGGTTTGGCGAAACAAGATAGCCTCTCAGGCAGCCTATCCCGCATTGCTCCCTTTGCACTCTCTCCCGCCTCTGCTCCACACTTTCCACACACCCCACTCCCTTCGACCAAAATGCAGTCGTGGAGCATCACTTGAAGAAGGCTCACGAGGCAGGCAATGCAGTCCCTCAAAACACCTTCCCTGTTTCCTTCCTTTCACTCTCAAAACACCTTCCCTGTTTCCTTCCTTTCACTCTCAAAACACCTTCCCTGTTTCCTTCCTTTCACTCTCAAAACACCTTCCCTGTTTCCTTCCTTTCACTCTCAAAACACCTTCCCTGTTTCCTTCCTTTCACTCTCAAAACACCTTCCCTGTTTCCTTCCTTTCACTCTCAAAACACCTTCCCTGTTTCCTTCCTTTCACTCTCAAAACACCTTCCCTGTTTCCTTCCTTTCACTCTCAAAACACCTTCCCTGTTTCCTTCCTTTCACTCTCAAAACACCTTCCCTGTTTCCTTCCTTTCACTCTCAAAACACCTTCCCTGTTTCCTTCCTTTCACTCTCTATCTGCAGAACGCATTGCCGGCAGTGGTGGAGCATCATCTGAGGAAGGCGCACGAGTAGGGAAAAACAGCCTCCCAGGCGACCCTTCCCGCCCACATTGCTCCCCGTGTACTTTCTCCTTCTCTCTCCACTTCCCCTCCCATCTTCCAACCTGCAGAACGCATCGCGAGCAGTGGTGGAGCATCATCTGAAGAGGGCGCACGAGGAGGGCAAGACAGCCTCTCAGGCGACCTTTCCTCCCGTTACAATCACAGTCTGCAGAGGTCACAACGAAAGCACAATCAAGGTACGCATATCTAAAAGCACTAGTGCCAATCTGGTTCTTATTTGATTTTTTTTTCTCCTGTTACAATCACAGTCTGCAGAGGTCACAATGAAAGCTCAATCAAGGTACGTCTCTAGCAGGTTGTGTTAAGAAGAATCCTTGAAACCCCCACACAGAGTCACACTGACGTTCAAGTGCGAAATGTTTAGCAACTGGCCAACAGTGCAAGATGTGCTGATCCTTTCGGTTTGGTTGGGTTTGGTGTGGTGCTGGCAGGTGTCGGATCAGGGAGGGGGGATTGCGAACGAGCTAAAGGAGAAGGTGATGGGAGTGGTGGGAGAGTAGGGAAGAGGAGATGGGGAAAATGAAGGGGAGGAGGGGGGAATGGTTGACTTGAGGGGACGCCGGCTTTGGGATTCTTGAGAGAACGGCAGTGCTTAGAGCTCTTTGGGTGGGATTCTGCAATCGCGGCCAATCGATTTGGAGAGTAACAGAGGTCAAGTTCCTTTCCTGCACTGCACTGCTTCCCACTGTACCATCATCACCTCACTTAACCGCACTCTACCCCCTTGTACCACACTCCACCGCAATCTACCGCATGCTTCAGGTGTGGAGCTACGGATTCTCGTCTCTGGATGAGGATGCAGAGGCAGGGCCAGCTGCAGCTGCAGGTGCGTGTGGGGGTGGTGTGGGTGTGTTTGGGGGTGTGGGTGTTTGTGTGGGGGGGAGGAGGATGGTAGTGTGGGTGTGCGTGGGGGGGAGGCGGGTGTGGGTGTGGGTGTGTGTGCTTGTGCACATGCGTGTGTCTCTGGATGAGGATGCAGAGGCAGGCCCAGCTGCAGCTGCAGGTGTGTGTGTGGTGTGGGGGGGAGGGAGGGGGGGGGTTGACGGGGGAGGGAGTGGAGGGGGAGGGAAGGGGAAAGGGGGGTTGCGTGCGTGTGTGCATGTGCGCGTGCATAAACTATGTTCACATTTCCACAGGAACACCTGCCCTGCCTCACTTCTTGGGCAAATAAAGTTCTTCCACTGCTATAATTCTTCGTACAACCCCTCTTTCCCCACTCCCCCTTCCCCCACTCCCACCCCTTTCCCCCAACTCCAAACCCCCCTCCCGACTTCTGTGCGACCTGGTCCAATAACCTCCCCCACTCCCCCACTCTCTCCCCCTCCCCACTCGCCCTCCCTCCTCCCCCTCCCCCCTCGCCAGGCCCTCTCGCCATGGGACTCACGGCTCCCATGGCTGGACTTGGCTTCAGCCTTCCCCTCATGTGTGACCTGGCTCAAAACACACTACCCTGCGCACTCGCCCTTCCACCTTCCCATTCCTGCCGCGCCAGACCTTCTTGACTCTCATGGCAGTCCCAAGCAAGGTTCAAAAATACGGCCGTATTTTTGAAATTTTGCCGTAAATTACGGAATCGTAAATTACGGTCGTAAATTACGGTAAAAAACGGTCAATCATTGTAATTTCATGCTGCTTTAAAAATACGGTCGTAAATTACGACCGAAATTTTGATACTGAGTTTGCAATAGCGAATTTCGGCATTTCCCAACCGTCACCCTGGGTTTGAGACATTCGTGCTGCCAAATGCACACGTGTTTGTTTTTTTCCCGAGTCGCGCATGTCGAGTATTTCTCGAGGCGCGACATTTGGTTTTTTGGCGAACGTTTTGCTGCTCTGTTGCCCTTACGAAATGTCAGTTTGTGTATTTCGCCGAAGCGCAAATGTACAAATTTGCGCGATGCGGTAATTTGTACATTTGGCGAACCGTTATCACACGTCAACCCGTTTCGTTAGGTCGGTGGGACGATTCGCGGCCCCGTCGTTATTTTCGCCCGCGTGCGCGACACAACCCAACTTTGCGCTGCGAAACAATTTTGACCAATAGCGTTAGTCCAATCTCCATCCCATCCCATCCCATCCCTTCTGCCTTTTTCGTTCGCCAAAGCAACACAACCAAGTCTAGCAAGGTACAAAGAGCAGGGCGATAAACCTACTCGACAAGTACATCTTAGTAGGCATTTTACAGCTTCAGTCAAGTGCGGTATTCCACCATGGTTAGACCTTTCTTGGAGGTGTGGGAGCACGTGACGAAGGTTACATCTCCTAACGGCGTAGTCACCGCGACATGCAGCTATTGCCCTGCTACCGTGACGCCAAATGCCACTCGTATTAGAGAGCACATCTACGGGACCCCTCGATCAAGGGAGAAGAACGTGTCGCCGTGTCCGTCCGAGTTTGCCAAGCGGCTTCGTGAAGCCGACGAGAGGGATCGGTCTTCCACACCATCCAGTTCCAACCGGGCCTCTACCTCCACCACGGTCGAGATGCAGCCCGCAAGGCGTTCTAGGCAGCGGGACATCCGCGATATGGCGGATACCGTTGCCCGCGCGCGTTTGGACTACCTGTGGGCGGCAGTTGTGGCAGAGAATGATCTAGCCTTCAACGTCTCCAAATCGCGTGCGCTACAGGCCTTCGTTGACGCGGCGGTCGTGTTCGCGAAGCCCTACACACTCCCAACCCCTTACAAGGTGTCCGGCTCTCTCCTCGACAAGTTAAGGGCGGACGCCGAGGAGCTTGTAAGGCCGTTGAAGGAGAGTTGGAAGACGACCGGGTGCAGTCTCTCGGTGGACGGGTGGACGTGCATGAAGTCCCGCGGGATCGTGTGCGTCATCGCCCACAATGACACCGCGCCCGTCATTGTGGACATCGTGGACTCGAAAACCGCCAAGAAAACAGGAGATTACCTCGCGGGCCTCATCGGGAACTCAATCTCCGAAGTGGGGAAGGACCTCGTGGTCCAGGTCATCATGGACAACGCGTCTAACAATCGATCCGCGGCTGAGAAGCTTAAGGAGGAGTTTCCCTCGGTTTTTTTCGCGAACTGCGCCGCCCACTGCTTGGATCTTATGCTTCACGACCTAGGGAAAGTTAAGCCCGTCAAACGCGTGTTAGAGCAAGTGCATCGAGTCGTCATGATGATCAAGGGCAGCGCCTCCGCCGTCGTTCTATTCCGCGAGCTTTTTACCAAGCTTGCATTGGTGCGGCCGGGTGCGACACGGTTCGGCACTCAAGTCATCATGATACGCCGCTTCTTGGAGGTGAAGAGGGCTCTCCAGGCCATGGTCATCAGCGATGAATGGAAAGGGGTGGCGGTGGCGCAAAAGAAAGAAGGGCAGGAGGTGCGGGCGCTTCTTCTAGACGACGTCTTTTGGGACTGTGTTTCTGCGGTGCTCCGCCTCCTCACGCCGGTTTATGAAGTGCTAAGGGTGGTTGACACGCGGGCACAAGTCATGGGCCAAATCTATGGCCTCATGATTGATATCACGGTCAAGACACGGGAAGCTGCAGAGGCCGCCGGTAAGTGCAAATCTCTTTTATGTTTACTTCTATTCCTTCTCCCTATGTTAACAATCAACTCCTCCATCCTCACCGTGAGCAGCCCCGGTATTCATCAAGAAGACGGGCCTGCTCTTGGCCAAGGACAAGAGCACCTTCATGGCATCCATCAAGGGCATCCTTGCCCGGCGATGGGACGGGCAACTGCACAACCCCCTGCATGCCCTGGGATGGCTTCTTAATCCCCGCAACCAGTACGCGGGGGAGGTGAGAACCGATGCGGAGGTGAGGAAGGGGGCCGACCAGGTGATTCAGGCCCGGGGGGGGGGATGTTGCCCAGCGCATCAAGCTGCAGACACAGCTGGTGCAGTTCCACAAGGGTGAGGGCCGCCTCGGGTCGGATGACGCTCTATGGGCAGCCAAGACCTTGGTGGAGGGGGGGCGCATGACGGATGCGGAGTGGTGGTGGATTTTCGGTGGGGAAGTGCAAGCGCTCCAAGAACTGGCTGTGACGACCCTATCACAGCCCGTCACCTCGTCCGAGGTGGAGCGGTATTTTTCCGCCCTTGCACGAGTGCAAAGGCGGGATCGGAACCGCATCGCGGCCAAGAAGATGACTGATGTCACCTTCGTGGCCTTCACCAGGAGGGCCCGCGATGCGTTTGATCGCAAAACTCAGGCGCGTGCGAAGTTGTACGCTGATCTCACCGACGGAACCCTCAAAGAGGGCATTGCCGTGCCCCCGCCCGCAACAGTGGAAGAGGATGAAGGTGGGGCTGAAGAGGAGGAGGGAGCCGAGGTGGCAGAGTGCACCATCGACTGGACTGTATTTGGGAGCATTGGTAAGAAGAAGAAGAAGAAGCGCGCGGGAGAGAGCTCCAAGAGGAAGAGGAAGGAGAAGGGAAAGGGGCCATGCAAGCGGAAGGGGAGAGGAAAGAAGCGTGTGGAGGAGGAGGAGGAGGAGGAGGAGGAGGAGGAGGAGGAGGAGGAGGAGGAGGAGGAGGAGGAGGAGGAGGAGGAGGAGGAGGAGGAGGAGGAGGAGGAGGAGGAGGAGGAGAACGACGACGAGGAGGAGGAGGAGGCGGCAGAGAGCAATGGGCGGGAGGTAGGACCCTCCAAGCGTCCTAAGGCAGTCCGGCCGTGGGACTGCAGTGATGGTGAGAGTGGGGAGGAGGAGAAGGATGAGGAGGAGGAGGACCACGAGGAGGATGAAGGGTAGGAGGTGGAGGAGGAGAGGAGTAGGAGAGGTGCATGAGGAGTAGGAGGTGGAGGAGGAGTAGGATGGAGGAAGAGGAGGGATTAGGTGCAGATTTGCCTAGGTAGTGTAGTGTAGTTTCTTGTAGGCTTCCTTGTCATCGTTGTAAGCTGCCTAGAATTTTCAGGAAAAAAAAAAGTACAAACAAAACTCCAACAAAAAAACGGCCGTATTTTTGCCAAAACCACCGTAAAATACGACCGTAAATTACGGACCGTAATTTACGATTGCCGTATTTTTTAACCTTGGTCCCAAGGCCGGACTTGGATTCGGCCTTCCCTTATCCCATCGGTTCCACCCCTCGTTGGCATAGTCCTGCTGCACCACTCCCCACCCTCCTGCACCTCTTCCCCCCCCCTCTCCAGGCCTTCCCCTCTCCCAGCTCATTCACCTCTGGTTGGCACTATCTGTTTCCGCTTCACCACCCCCAACCCCTCTGCACCACTTCCCCCTCCCCCCCTCTTCAGGCCCTCTCGACTCTCATGGCAGCCCCATGGCTGGACTGGGATTCGGCCTTCCCCTCTCCCGACTGCACGCCCAGTACTTTGGGGGAGACATCGAGGTGAGACTTATATTTGGGGTATGTTTTGTTAAATAACCTGATAGAAATGGGCGGCTTCTCTTCCAGTTTCCCAACTCCATGCGCAGTACCTTTGGCGGACACTGAGGTGAGGTGTAGAATAAGGGCTCGATTTGACTTTTGAGGCGCCTCAAAATTTGTGAAGTCGCTCAATAGATTCCCGGCCTTTGGTTTGACAGGCCTTTGACCTTTGACCAATAAAATAAGTACCTTTGACCTTCCGCAATTGTATTTGCATCGTATCAGAGTTATATCTGCAGCATCATGGATGGCCTGTTGCTCCTGCAGCAACGGGTCATGTTAGAGTTTACTGCAAAACGTTTGCCCTTCCACTCTTGCGCCTGCACCATATCAGCTTCATATCATGCATCATTACCCTTCGCTCTTAAAGCAACGGGCCATGGAAACCACGGGGTATTGTCTTGTCATACGGTATCTCTCCTGCTTGAGCCTGCAGGTGTAATGAGGTTATTTTTGAGACGTCTCACCACCGATACTTTTGAGACGTCTCAAAAATAACCCCATTGCTCGTGGAAACCTCGGGGTATTGTCTTGGCATACGGTAGTATCTCTCCTGCTTGAGTCTGCAACCCAAATCCTGCATCTTGCGTCCATCCTCTTTATGCAGTTCTTCAGTATTCCTGGTTACGGCACGGATGTCTACATTCGAGTGCACAGGCTGGGAAATCACCAAGAAGAATTTGAGATCTGAGTTAGAGTTGAGTTTTGAGCAGATGATCTGCAGTGAAGTTACCATACCGTACCTGCTTCCTGCCATGTTCCTCGTACACGCTATGCAGTTGTTCATTTTTTCGTTAGTTCCATCCAGCACTTGCATACAATGTAATACTTCAAGGCGCTACTGGTTCCTTTGTCCTGGGTGCATTTCTGTGAGCCTGGTGGCTTTAGTTCAAATAGCGTCTCTGTGCATGTTGGGGTGTGCTGTGCATCAGTGTGACTTTTGCAGTCATCTAGTGGGAAGCTCAACCAATCAAGGTTTGTGCATGGTTAGGGGTGGGTGGGCCTGTTCTAGAAAGCTCTCGTGTTGAAATAAACAGCAATTTCCTTCGTATTATGCACAGCTTGCAGGAGAAAAGCCAGAGAAAAACTCCTGCATACTTGGCCCCTCAAACGCAGATCACTCTAATCTCAGTCACCCACAGCTGGCACACAGATTCACACTCAATCATGTTGCCGGAGCAGTTACAGCTCTCTCCAGCTGTCTTGCGAAGCCAGAACCCTGCCTTAGGTGCTCTTCGCGTACGTAACCAGAAGGATTACCACCCATTTACAATTTCTCATGCCATCATGATCCAGTACTAACCAGAACTTCCCATCAATTTTCATGTTCCCATCTCGAAAATTTCGTGTCAAGGACAACTCTCAGTTGTGTTTCCGAGCCATCAGTGTCACGGAGACGGACTGAAATGTTCCTGGAGGGAAATCTGGCTCATTTGAAGGGAAAACTTCCCGTTTTCACTTCCAGCGTTCGCCTTTCACGCGGCCCGTGGAGCGAATCTCCCTGCTCCTCTGCCGTTCGGCTTTCCGCAATTCCAGCTGCTTGTGGAACTTCTTAAGAACCCGCTCAGCCACGGCCCTGGATCCCTCGATTCGCTGCGCCAGGCGCGCCGCTTCTGCCTGTGCCTCGTCCCACTCCCACCAGTTGCACTCGTCTTGCTTGGGGGGCTGAGGGGGTTCCGCTGGGTGATCTGTCACGCAAAACGGACGAGACGTAACAATATTTGGATGAATATCAAAAGCTATTTAATGTAGATGTCGTACATCGAACACCGATATCTCTTTCCAGAAAAAAAAAAAAAAAAAAAATCGGGATTCTAGACCTCATAAAACGTGTTCGCATACCTCGTTTGTAAGCTGCCTTCAGCTTGGCGCGCTGTGCCTTCGTCATGCGGGAAGTGCACTGTGATTCCCAACCGTTCGATGAAATAATTTCCGGGAGCTCGAAGTTGACGGCCGCCATCGCTTCCGGACGTCAGAGCCTGCTTGAAAACTTCTGAAGTACTTTAGAAAAGTTCGTGCGGTGAGCTGACTGTGCGGGTTAGACTAAGTCGGATTCTGGAGGATAAAGTTTTTTGGTTCTAACCGGGAAGATTCTGAACACTAATAGACTCTAGGTGCAGGTAGGAAAGTGTGTACTTTCTGTGGTGGTGGGTAGGATAGATTACGTAGAAATGAAACAACAGCTGAAAGAACTCCAGAATACCAAGAATTGAATGGAAATGTGATGTGATAGGAAAGACTCACGCAACCTTTTATACACACCTATCAACCCAGCAATGCGGAATTGATGAATTTCCTCCTCATCAGCTGAGCGAGTCCGAGTCGCACCTCGGAAGCGCAACGAAACTAGGTTTTGCGTTCCACACACAAGAAAATTCGGTCGGAACTGTAGCCGGTTTCGTGTAGATGACTGGAGGTCCACGTCATCAAAACAGTGGCGTGATTGGTGGTCCTTCCGGAGGTTTTGGCGCTCTATACGCAACCATGACTTTCAAGACTTTGGATAAACCCCGAACCTAGCTTAAAACCAGGGTGCACATTCAACGCGGTTCGGCTTGAGATGTTGGGAAGGGGGTTTGGAGAAAAACAGTGATTGGCTCACGAGGGGCGACAAAAAAATGATTCCGCTAGAGCTTCGGGCATTTCGTAGGTGGCGGGAGGGGGTGAAATGGCGGGAGTGGGTGAAACCGAATGGCGGGAGGGATGAAACAGATTGGCGGGAGGGGGGGGAAACGAAATTGCGGGGGAGGGGGGAAACAAAATTGCGGGGGAGGGGGGAAACGAATTTCGACGGGGAGGGGGAAATGAAATTGCGGGGGCGTGGGGAAACGAAATTGCGGGGGAGGGGGGAAACGAATTTCGACTTGAAGGGGTTGAAAGCACACCTCGTAACCCACTCAGTCAAGGGATAACCTTTGATGCACATTCAGCTGAATGTGCACCCCGGTTTTAAACCCTCATGTCTCCGCTGTAAGGTCAAACGGCTGATGGTGCTCTGCATTGCAAAGCAAATGCTCAAACGGAGCGTTACTTGGTATAACTCACAAAATGAAATTATCGCTGATGACATAGCTAGTTTCGCTACACAGATGGTTTCGGTGCTCATATCCACGTCAGACTTCTGAATCTGGTCCAATTGCTCACCGTCAGGCCATGAGATTGCCTGTCCCGCAAGGAGTTTGGCGCAATCACCTGCCAAATTGACCTGCCGAAATGAACCAAAGCGGGAATTTGGAACCCCGCGCGCGCCTGGCGAAGTTCGCTGACTTCCTGTCCCGCGACACGCAATTTTGCAAATCTGCGGTTTGCCTCTTTTGCCAGTGCGGCTCCCCTGACAATGTCCTGCCCGAACAGACGGGGGCAATCGGGATGAAATTCGCGTCTCGGCGGTCGCGCTTCGGAGGTAAATGTTGACTCCTCCCAACATTGAAATTGCCTCGCCATTTCCCAACAAAGCAAATCTCTGACTTGACTGTGACAGTGCAGTGCAGCAGAGTAGATCCAGGCACCACTGAACAAAAGCTGCGTCGTCAACGCGTTTTTCGAGCAGTCATAGACAACAGGGAGAGCTGATCACACTCATCTGGGATCCAACACCCAGAGAGATAAACCCGCAGATGAAACGCTAAAGTTAGTCTTGAGTTCTTTTACGGTAAACTTTTCAGACAGAACTGGACGAGTGGGTGGAGAAATACTAGACACCGAGTCCCACGAAACGGCAGAGATAGTGAATCTTTCAGCAGAATTTGGGAAGGATGGCACGGGCTAGGATGTCTGGGCTGCTGCTCACGCTCACGCTCTCAGTCGCTTTGCTAGCTTCCTGCCCGCATTATGCGGCGGCGCAAGAAACGCCATCACCTGCGTTCAAGTTTAGCAATTACATGCTCAAGGTGACTTCCCAAACCTTTCAATCTCTTCATAAATTTCTCAGCTCCCTAACTGTCACGGGAAATACTCGTCATAGACTTCCTTGTTGACTCGCTATGCGTGTAACAGAAGCCGCACTCCCCATTGTCCTGCCATCGCTGTCGGCCGTTGATTCGCTTCAGATTCGTTTTTTGCGTTACTCGACACGCTACTGCCCCCGCCCAACCTTTCCCCTTCTCTTGCACCTCATCTCCTTCTCGTGCGTCGCAGAACTGCCGTGCTCAAACCGACGCGTCGACCAACGGCGTGCGATCCGCCGACTTCGGCGACGGATTCGCATTCGGCGTGACGACGAGCGCGACGCAGGTGGAGGGAAGCACGAGCAAGGACGGCCGTGGGCCGAGCATATGGGACGCGTACTCGATGCTGACCGGCGCCATCGCCGATGGATCCAAACCCGCCGAGGCGACTCAGAGCTACGACCGTTACAAGGTAAGGATAACAGTCGAATCAGGTGGGTTCTTAACCACAGGCAGGACCTTTCTGCCCCTGCTGGTCCTCTCGAGCTTCCTTGCTTTTATTTTCTTTTGCTTCCCCTCTTCGCCTTTCCGCTGTTCCGTGCTACCTTTGATAATCCGGATGCTCCGTAGCAACCCCACTTACCCACTCCCCGCTTTCCCCCCCCTTTCGCCTTTCCCCGAATTTCTTCTTCCTGCCCGCTCGGCAGACTGACGTGAAGTTTCTCAAGGAGATGGGGGTGAAGAACTACCGCTTCTCCATCTCGTGGCCACGAGTTGTGCCAGGTGAGTTGCGAATGTTACCACGTAACTTATATTCATATTCGGGAATGTTTTGGAGGAGATGGGAGTGAAGAACTACCGCTTCTCCATCTCGTGGCCGCGAGTTGTGCCAGGTGAGCCGCGAATGGTACCAGGGAAGCCGCCCATTTCTCTACGAAATCAGTAGGCGTCTCGACAAGATGAAGTACCTCTTTTGAGGCCTTTCCCAAAAGGCTTTCCTTTCGCCCCTCTTCTTTAAGGGGTTACGCACTAGATCTTCCCTGATCGGATTTTGCTTGGTTCCTCGCCCGTCTCACTCCCCACCCTCTTTTCTGTGCCTCCCCCAAATCTCCGCTCTCCAAAATTCCCCGTATCCTTTGATTGTCACAGGGGGTGTGGGTGCGTTGAACGCCGAGGGTATACGCTTTTACAATGACTTCATTAACGAGTTGAAGGATAACGGCATCGAGCCCGTGGTTACACTGTACCACTGGGATCTGCCGTTCCCTCTTGAACGCGACCAGGGGGGCTGGCTCAACGACACCATTGTGTAAGCATCCCCGATACTAGCATCATGTTCTTGTGTCACCACCAATATTTACACGCCACCGATATACATTCTTTTTTTTTATGTCGATTGTTTCGGGCTGATGTTCTTCTTGGAAATTCGCCGTTGCTGGTTGATTTCAGGCGAAGTTACGCCAACTACGCAGAAACGTGCTTCCGCAAATTCGGGGACAGAGTGAAGACATGGATCACATTCGCCGAGCCGCAGCAGATCGCTGTGCAAGGCTACGGCACAGGAGGCATGGCCCCGGGCCGCTGTTCGGACCGCACAATTTGCACCGCGGGAAATTCGTCCTCTGAGCCTTACATCGTCGCGCACAACATTCTGAAGGCGCATTCGTTGACGGTCCAGATTTACCGTCAGAAGTACAAGAAGCAGCAGGGCGGTCGGATCGGCATCGCGCTGGATTGCGTGTACCACTACGCGGCTGACGAAACGCGCGCGAGCAAAAATGCGGCGCAGCGGGGGATGGAATTCGCGTACGGGTGGTTCGCGGACCCGATCCGTTACGGAAGTTACCCGCGCTCCATGCGTTATTTCGTCGGCAATCGCATGCCGAAATTCAACCGGAAGGAATCGCGACGCATGAGAGGCGCCACGGATTTTCTCGGGTTGGATTTTTACTCGGCCGTTTACGCGTGGCCGGGAAGCAGCGCGGGAGCTGGAATCCCGTGGACCGACGCGCGCGTCTCAACTTCACGTGAGTATAACGAGGATGCTATCGGGAGGTTGCTTGCAAGCAGACTTTGCGGTTATTTTGTAACATGTGACTCAGACCTGTGTCTCATCCAATCATGTGTGTCCCATCTCTCCTACCGTTTCTACCTGTGTGTGTGCAGCCCGTAACCCCCGAACCGGCAAGTTTGTCGGCGAGCCGGTAAGCACCTCTCCTGTTGTGCTCCTTGAGTAGTTGCATTACGTTGGTGATTTACCCTCACTGTCTCTCGCACACACTTAGTTTCAATACATTGCACACCAGCAGCTATCTGTGCCCCATACAGTACCCGGAGGTCTCTTGTCCAGCCATTGGATAATGTTTCTCTGAATTATCCCACTAAAGACTCCCTATCATTTGTCCTCTCGTCTTGCTGTCCTCGCTACAGACCTCCTCGAAGTGGCTCTACGTGGCTCCCGAGTCCATGAAGAACATGCTGCTGTGGATAAAGAACCGTTACGGCAAAGATGCAGCTGTAATCGTTACCGAGAATGGTGTTAGCGAGTACAACGTGCAGGGGATCACGATGGACAAGGCGCTGTGCGACGTGCAGAGGGTTAACTTCCACAAGAGCTACCTACAAAATGTTCTGGACGCCAAGAAGTAAGTTGTTTTACTGTTTTGGGGTCGTGATTGTTAATGGGTGTTGCTAGCGAGTACAATGTGCAGAGAGGGTCAACTTCCACAAGAGTTACCTCCGGAGCGTATTGGATGCCAAACAGTAAATTATTTTACATTTTTAGGAGGTGTGGTTGTTACTCTCCCTCCCCCCTGTCACTCTCCCTCCCCCCTGTCACTCTCCCTCCCCCTGTCACTCTCCCTCCCCCTGTCACTCTCCCTCCCCCTGTCACTCTCCCTCCCCCTGTCACTCTCCCTCCCCCTGTCACTCTCCCTCCCCCTGTCACTCTCCATCCCCATGTCACTCTCCATCCCCCTGTCACTCTCCCTCCCCCTGTCACTCTCCCTCCCCCTGTCACTCTCCCTCCCCCTGTCACTCTCCCTCCCCCTGTCACTCTCCTTCCCCCGGTCACTCTCCCTCCCCCGGTCACTCTCCCTCCCCCTCCCCTCTGTCACTCTCCCTCCCCTCTGTCACTCTCCCTCCCCTCTGTCACTCTCCCTCCCCTCTGTCACTCTCCCTCCCCTCTGTCACTCTCCCTCCCCTCTGTCACTCTCCCTCCCCTCTGTCACTCTCCCTCCCCTCTGTCACTCTCCCTCCCCTCTGTCACTCTCCCTCCCCTCTGTCACTCTCCCTCCCCTCTGTCACTCTCCCTCCCCTCTGTCACTCTCCCTCCCCCCTGTCACTCTCCCTTCCTCCTGCCACACCTTCCCTGTCCCTTCCTGCCACTCCCTGCAACCCACTCTCCATATCCTTTCCAACCCTGTATTTATCATTTGCAGCTCCAAAGTTAATGTGCAAGACTCGATGGGACCATGGACCATGATGGATAACTGGGAGTGATTCCAGGGCTACACACAGTGATATAGCACACTCTATTATATTTTCCCACCCACTCACCCACTCGTGTTCTTTTGTCTCTCTCCCATCTCGGCTATTCCCTGCTTTTTTTTTTTGCAGAAATGGAGTGAATGTGCAGGGCTACTTCGCTTGGTCTATGATGGATAACTGGGAGTGGTCGCAGGGCTACACGCAGCGATTCGGCATGCTCTATGTCAACTTCACGCACCCACTCAAACCTCGGTACCCCAAGGCTTCCGCCATTTGGTTCAAGAAATTCTTAGCTACTAGCTAGAAGTATTTTATCGAAACCTTTACTGATTCTTGACATGTAGTTTACTGTAGGCCGAGGATGTGTAGAGTGTGTAGCAGGGCGAAGGAAAGTGTTGTTTAGCGATGCCTCTCGCGTCCTCGTTAGTATCCTGGGCGCAGGGTGGAGGGCTCTCTCTTGTAGATGTGCATTGAGAATGCAATTATAGTGTAATGGTATGCACTGACACCAATAGAAAGAATATGTAATGGCTTCTGGCCAATCCTTGTTCACCTACCATACTATTCCTTAGCCAGAAATCCTAGCAGACAGATTAACTTTCATGAGGTGGCCTCGGAGTTAGCGCACGCCCAAAGATGACATTGTGAACAATAACCATCACCGCAGCATCAATAATATGCATCAACGAAGTAACAATATCCATGTAACCTAACAGTCTGACACGCAAGCTTCTGTGAGCGAGCTTCCATCGACAACATTATTTAGTCCATGCAAAACTGATGGCAGTCTTGATCGTACAGTATTCAGCTCAGACCACAAGCGGTGCATTGCGATGCTGACTGGTTTCAGTAGACAGGTGGTGGTTGAACTTGTTTTCAAGGGTGTAGAGAGGTGCAATGCGGTGAAGTGCAGCGCTGTAGGGATGCCTTGCTACGGAGGAAAGTGGTGGCTGAACAGGGATTCCCCAGTAACAAGACTTTCGGGTGATGCGGTGCCAAGTGGTGCAACAGTGCTGCTGTGTGGTGCCATGCGATGCTCCGCTCTGCTACTATGTTGGGAGGTGACGACTGAGCAGGGTCTCAAATGAAGCATAGAGGTCCTTGTTCTCAGTCCCAAATATTTCCTCTGCTTTCTTCAAAGTCTCCTGCTCAGACCAACAAAGGGCGTGGGGGGAAGCGAGGGAGGGGGGAAGTGGGAGGTGACGACTGAGCAGGGTCACAGACGAAGCATACAGGTCCTTGTTCTCGGTCCCAAATATCTCCTCTGCTTTCTTCGAAGTCTCCTGCTCAGACAGACCAACAAAGGGCGTGGGGGGAAGCGAGGGAGGGAGGAAGTGGGAGGTGACGACTGAGCAGGGTCACAGACGAAGCATACAGGTCCTTGTTCTCAGTCCCGAATATCTCCTCTGCTTTCTTCAAAGTCTCCTGCTCAGACCAACAAAGGGCGTGGGGGGAAGCAAGGGAGGGGGGAAGTGGGAGGTGACGATTGAGAGGGGTCATAGACGAAGCATAGAGCTAGAGCCACTGCTGCTGAACTATAAGTCGACTCAAGAGTCATCTAAGAACTCACCTCGCGCGTCTTCTTGTGTGCGTTGAGCTCCTTGATATTCGCCAGGAAGATACTAAATTGCTCGTACGACAGGCGGTACTGTTGACTTCGAAGCAGTTTAAAGCCACCTCAAACACCCCACTCGGCATGCCATCCCACACAGCACCTTGCAGCCCCACTCACCTCGCGTGTCTTCCTGTGTGCGCATTGATTGAGCTCCTTGATATTCGCCAGGAAGAGAAGCTTACAGCAGCGCATGCCATGCCACAACAAGGCACCTTAAAGCCCCACTCGCTCACCTCGCGCGTCTTCCTGTGTGCGCATTGATTGAGCTCCTTGATATTCGCCAGGAAGAGAAACTTAAAGCAGGACAGGCCATGCCACAACACGGCACCTTAAAGCCCAACTCACCTCACGTGTCTTCCTGTGTGCGTTGAGCTCCTTGATATTCGCCAGGAAGAGACTAAATTGCTCGTAAGACAGACGGTTCCTGCGGATAGCAGAGGCACAGAGGATGAGAAGGGAGTGGGTGGGATGGGGGGTAAGGAGTGAATGACTCTTGAGCAGAAACAAGTTCTTAGTAACAACATATCTTTGCCGATAAGCAGACAGTTCGTGGGTAAGAATGGAGGACTGATAGCGAGGCCGAGGGGGGAGTGGTTGGGTTGGGTGGGCGCAATAGGGCTTAGTGAAGGGCGGTTTTGAAAAGTCTCAATAGTGGATGGCGGAAAGTGGGGGGCAGATAATATGCATCCAAGAAATTATATATATATATATATATATATATATATTTTGGTTACGGGTGAAGGAAAAGGGTGGAGCACAGTAGATTGCTCAACGTACCTTGCTCGTCGGAAAAACTCCTTGCCATCCACCCGGGGAGCTCGAGCTGGTGGGAGGGAGAAGGGGAGAGGGGACAGGGGGAGGGAGGGGAGTGGAGAGGAGTGGAGAGGGGGACACGTATGGAAGTGTTGTAACGGATTGTTGGGTCGAGATAATTCAAATGCTTGTCAGAAAAACTCCTTGTCATCCACCCCGGGAGCTCGAGGTGGTGGGAGGGAGAGGGAGAGGGAGAGGGAGAGGGAGAGGGGAGGGGAATGAGGGGGAGAAGGGGGGGGGAAGTTAAGGTGTGGCAGCAGTGCGTGGGTGTGGGCGAGGGGATGTCGGAGGTGTGCAGGACTGGGGAGAGACAGCGGTAGAGCCGCGGGGAGGAGTGTTTTGAGTCGACTCAAAGTGTGTTTCGAGTTGACTCAAAGCACAGAGAAAGGGGGGGGGAGAGTGAAGGTGTGACAGCAGTCCTTGGGTGTGGACGAGGGGATGTCGGAGGTGTGCACTGCAGGACCGGGGAGAGACAGCGGTGGAGCCGCGGGGAGGAGTGTTTTGAGGCGACTCAAAACACTACTTTTATCACGAGAGGATGTCGAAGGTGTGCACTGCAGGACCGGGGAGAGACAGCGGTGGAGCCGCGGGGAGTGTTTTGAGGCGACATTTGAGTCAACTCAAAAGTCAGACCGGGGAGAGGCAGCGGTAGGGCCGTGGGGAGGAGTGGCGGAAGGGGTGAAGGCGGGGAGACACACACTCATACTTCCTCTTCCCACGTACCAGCTCTCATTCTCACCTTCAGTGCGCGAACGGGAAGACGCAGCAGTAGAGCCATGGGGAGGCGTGGCGGAAGGGGTGAAGGCAGGGGAGAAGAGCGAAGGGGTCATGGAGGGCGTGCGTTGGGGCAGGTGGAGGGAGGGGTGGTACTGGCACAAACGAAACCCCTTACTTCTTCCAACCATTTCCCCATTCCCATTCCTATTCTCACCTTCAGTGCGCGAACGGGGAGACGCAGCAGTAGAGCCATGGGAAGGCGTGGCGGAAGGGGTGAAAGGCCGGGGAGAAGAGCGAGGGGGTCATGGAGGGCGTGCGTTGGGGAAGGGGCAGAGGGTGGTACTGGCGCTAGTGCATCCACAGTACCAGACCTTCATGAAGGGCGTGCGTTGGGGAAGGGGGCAGAGGGCGGTACTCAGCTTTCCCTAGCGCTCACCTTCAGTGCGCGAGCGGGGAGAGGCAGCAGTGCTCCCGTGGGGAGGCATAGCCGAAGGGGTGAAGGCCGGGGAGAAAAGCGAAGGAGTCATGGAGGGGTGGAGGGAGGGGTGGCACTGGCACAAACAAAACCCCTTGCTTTCCCTACCCATTTCCCCATTCCCATTCCTATGCTCACCTTCAGTGCGGGAGCGGGGAGAGGCAGCAGTGCTCCCATGGGGCGGAGTGGCGGAGGGGGTGAAGGCCGGGGAGAAGAGCGAAGGGGTCATGGAGGGCGTGCGTTGGGGCGTCCGCAGGTTTCTCAGACTCGCGCTCACACTGCTGCTGCTCGCGCTGGTGGCGCCGGCTGCTTGCCCAGTGGTGGTGATGTTGCTGTGAGCTGCAAGGGAGACGGGCGAGAGAGGGAACAGAAACACGAGCGAAGGGAAGAGCGATGGGGTCATGGAGGGGGTGGATTAGGGTGTTGGTGCGCTGGGGGTGCGAGGGTAGGAGTGGGGAGGGAGGTAGAGAGCGAGGGAGAGATGAGAACATGTGCCACCACACATCACCACACAGGACCACACTCCACCACAATACCACACTCCACCACACGCAACCACACACCACCACACGCAACCACACACATGCAGAACCTACATGGCGCATTGCAGATCCACACATACAGCAGCTGACAGTCGTCACTGACACTAGTGTACATGCAACGTCAGCGAGTGTGCCACGTCAGCACACCAAACCACCACATACCAGCATCCTCTGCTGGACCCGCGTGGTCCATGGCAGATGCCACGGTGGCAGAGCCAGCAGCAGCCGTTGATCTTGCCACGTGGTCAACCCTCAGTGCTGTGCCCGCCCCTGGTCCCACCACTCCTGCTGCCAGAGATGCAGAGACATCTGGTGGGGTGGAGAAGAGAACAGGGAGGGAGAGAGGAGAGCGGAAATACAAGAGTTGGGACACAGGTTGAAACCCCTCAGTGCTGTGCCCCCCCCTGGTCCCGCCACGCCTGCTGCCAGAGATGCAGAGACATCTGGTGGAGTGCGAGGGAGGATGAGGGGTGTAATGGAATGGGAGCAACAGGCAGTAGTGAAGGTAAAAGTCTGGGACTAAGAATCATACCCCTCAGTGCTGTGCCTGCCCCCGGCTGCTGCTAGCGGCGAAGAGACATGTGGAAGAGTGAGCGGGAGAAAAGGAAGCACTTGACTCGAACATCAGGCTTGACTCGGGCACCGGTGGTTTCCTGCTCACAGCACCACTCTCCACCCACTTCAACCCATCCTTACCTGGTTGCGTCTTGGTGGTTGAAGCACTTGATTCAGACGTCACACTCGACTCGGGGACCGGTGGCTTCCTGCCAACACCACCACTTTCCACCGCATTCAACCCATCCTTACCTGTTTGCGTCTTGGTGGTTGAAGCACTTGATTCAAATGTCACACTCGACTCGGGGACCGGTGGCTTCCTGCCAACACCACCACTTTCCACCGCATTCAACCCATCCTTACCTGTTTGCGTCTTGGTGGCTGAAGCACTTGATTCAAATGTCACACTCGACTCGGGGACCGGTGGCTTCCTGCCAACACCACCACTTTCCACCGCATTCAACCCATCCATACCTGTTTGTGTCTTGGTGGTTGAAGCACTTGACTCAGACGTCACACTCGACTCGGGAACGGGAGGTTTCCTGCCAGCTGCACTCTCCGCCATGCCCACCTGAAACACTCACAAACACACAGAATCATCATTACAATCACACAGAATAACGGATATAGACAGTCCCAACACAGGTATAACGCCCTCTCCAATTCAACTCTGAGCTCCAGTCCACCATGTCACTCCCAATCACAGCATTCGGTATAGTCAACCCCAACATAGGCACAACAACTTGCCGGATTTTTGCCTTTCTTTCCCCGTTCAGCTTCCTCCTCTAATAGTTTTCTCTCATTCGCTATTTTTTTCCTCTCCCATTTCAGGCACCCTACCCTCCCGCCCTTTCCCCTACCCCAGCCCCCTCCCCGTCTCTCTCCGTCAACAAACCCCCCTTAAACCCTTCCCCCCTCCTCCTCCCGAACCTATCTCTCCGTACCTCGGACGCAGGTTCGTCGTCGTTTTCGTCCTTGAGTTGTTGCATGAGCGTGCGGCGGAAGGTCTCGAGCTGGTGAGAGGGGAGGCATGGAAACGTTCAGGGAGAGATGAGAGAGGTGTGCGGGAGAGAGGGGGAGGGGGAGGTTAAAGGGGAGGGAGGGGAGATCGGAGGGGAGAGCGAGGGGGAAAATGAGGGGAAGAGGACCGGAAGCAGCTGAATGGGAAATGAAAGAACGAAACGAGAGGCGGGACGACGGAAGAACGAAAGAGCGTTACATAGTGCCTCTCGCCTTCGCGACAACTCGCAGCCTTTCCAGAAAAATATAAATACAGCCAACCTTGCGACGACTCTACTATCGGAATAAAGCAGCCTACCTTGGCGACGTCTCTGTTGAGTTTCTTCACCATCGCCACAAGAGCTGTCTTTTCCCCCGTGAGCTTGGCCTGGAACGAGAGCGGACAGGGTAGCGCACGTGGCAGTAAAATGAGAAGTTCACATGTTAGGAGGCCAACTGGCAAGACAGCGGCGTCAGGTCGGACAAGCGAATGACGACAAAGAAGAAAGAACGGGGAGAAAAAAAGCCTTGCGCAGAGAGATTTGCGAGCCAAAGGAAGGGATCGGCATCACCTGGTACAGCGTTACCTTAGCCTTATTTTTGGTTGTTTCTCATCCAATCAGCAGTAAGCCCTGTTTGCGATACCACAGCACACTTACTCATCTGAAACGCGGCCTTACCTGCTCTTCTTCTGCAGCCTCTCGTTTCTCATTGGCCTCCTTAAGCGTGAGTTCCAAGTCCGCCACTTTCGCCTCGAACGCGTTAATCGACGACTGGCTATCGCCTAAGCTGCCCTTCAGCCGACCCGCCTCCGCTTCTAGAGTGTGGATGCGCGCTGTGAAGGCCTGAGCGGCGATTAATCGGGATAAGTTAAGAAGGTCGAAGGGATCGGCGGGTAAGACGTCTTTGACTACTGCGGGGATTTCATCCTGGGAGATGACACCATTGCTTCCAACGTGATTCTCCATGTTCTTCCCAGCTATTGCTGCGAAATCAGCTGACCCTGACGAATCTTGGAGTGTCTGGAGGTGGCTCTATATCAGAACTCGATCGTCGAAAGGCGGGCCTACCCACGTACGAGAGTTACTTTACTAAGTATCGCTTAGACGACGTTGAACACGGTCCCTGCTTTAACGCGCTCGATCACTTGGCGGTGTCCCATGGAGAAAGCAGGCGTGAACGCTTTCGAAGCTGAGCCCGGAAATGCACCCGAATCAGGGCCGCCAGATAATGCTGTGGATGCGGATAATGAACCTGCGTACGGAACCTCTTTTTCCACCAATTTTCCGAACCGACCGCACGGAATAAATAACCAGAAATCTTAGCTTTATGACGTGGTCAGAAAGAACCAAGGAGAATTAACCGTGGTATGGGAAGAATATGAAGCGTGGACTGTCAGCGTGTAGTCTGGAGAAGGAATCAGGGACGCAGTGGCTACTAATGGCAAACAAGGAACTACGTAGCACAAGGTCGTCGGTCACTAGTAACTAGCTATGTCTAGATGTTGCCAGTGAGCACTTGCATACGTATGGATGGGTGAGAAGGCTTTGATGGTTCCGCACCTAAACTTTCGGTTGTCTAGGCAAGGCTTGGGGCAACATCAGGCGGGAATTGTGGCTCGGAATTTTTTACCTTTGTGATGCGTTTCGCACTTAGCGGAAAAGGAAGAGTCCTAAAACTACGCGGGGATAATATTTACACAAGTGAAATGCTTAGCCAAGAGTGGCATGATCCTGCTCGCACCAGCCTTTGTCTAAGCAAAGGTGCAGGTCCGGCCACGGCTCCAGGTTGTGGAAGCAGGGGGCGAAGCGCGCGTGAAGTGCGGAAATTCCGTACCTCCATGCTGGGCTCGGCGGTCCACGAACCCAGACCACAGCGTCCCCTTTCACTACAGCAAATTTGGACCACATGTTTTTCGTAGTTACATTCAGGTTCTTGGTATTATTATGTCATCCTCGTGTTCTGCTGTTGTTATCCAGCCTAACTGAGGAAGCTTCAATCGAGGTTCCCTCGATGTTTGCATCTCCCAGGATTTTGCTGTTTCCCTAGAAATTGCCCCCTTCTTGACACGACATGTCCGGTTGACTCAACCACTTCAGTCGCAAAGCGTAGATGCCAGAACTTCACTTACTCCCGCCCTATGTAAAGCGTCACGTAGCTGGTAGTAGCTCTTGTTCCGGTACTGAGTTGTGACTCGATAACCTAGGATCCCAAGTGCCGTCTCCTCAATCGCGTCGAACGGCCGCTTTCGTCATCTTGATCAATTGAGTCGGAGGAGAACGATCATCCGGTGGCTGCGACCAATATGTACGTAACGCAATGAGACGAATCGCTTTATCGAGGCGCGCTCACTGAGCCTAGCTCACGCTGCGGGACGCCTAGGTACACTTCGAGTCGACTCAAATTTCACGAATCGCGCCGTTAAACTCGCTACTACATACCAGGGGAATCGATACCAATTTTCGCATCAGTTTTTGCCATGGCTTCACCGACAACCGACGGCAAGAAGGAGAGCTCGCACCACCACCATCACCACGCCTCCTACAACGCGATCCGCGGAAACCTCGAGCGCGCGCTGCGCGGAAGCATCGAGCGGATGCGCGGGGCGCGGGGGAGCATCGAGCGCAACGCGACCGCCGTCGGCGGAAACCTCGAGCGTGCCATCCGCATTGCGCGCGGAAACCGCCAATTGCCCGCCTACCTCCTCTTCCTTGTCGCGCTGATTTCCCTATCGGTCCTTATTTCCCAGTCCTCTGATTGGACGCCGTCCGCGGTCTTCGACAACGCCGATTCGATAACGGTCTCTTTTCCCGCCAAAACCGACTCCAGCCATCCGAGCGGCGCGACGGCAGAAGCGGCAGGCACGAATACCAATGGTGCTGGTAACGGACCTGAGGGTTCATCGCAGCCGTCCGCTGGGGGACCATCTAACGGCAGCCAGAGCGCGTCAGCTGATGCCACCTCCACAAACACTTCTCCCACTAATAACAGCAGCCCCAGCAGCAGCAGCAATCCCAGCGGCGGTAGCAACGGCGAAGGCAGCAACGCCAGCGCTAATAGTGCCGCCACTAGCACGGGAAATGGCGACACCGGGAGCAGCGGCAGCAGCAGCAGCGGGAGCGGCAGTGGCAGTAGCGGGGACAGTAGCGGCAGCAGCAGCAGCAGCAGCGGAAGCAGCGGCGCTACTTCCTCTAGTGGCGCGCTGCTGACGTCAGATTCCCCAGTGGTTACCCAGCTTTTGGCGGGAAACCTGACAGCCGAGAAAACCTTAGTCTGGGAGACTTCCTGGCTGGGCGTTACTAAGGAGCAGTACTTAATCTCCGGGACTAAATACCTCTACGTTCCGACCGCGGGCGATCTGTGCATGGGAATGGGGCATTTTAAGTGGAGCCTGGTGTGTAGGCTGTCAGAGGCGGCGTTCTTAAATCGAACGCTGGTGCTGGATGCGATGGTGTGCTTAAACGGGGCGCATAATAACGAGGGGTATGGGCTGGTGCGGCCGCTGTATGCCTACTTCGACTTGCATGAGCTGAAAAGGTGAGGAGGGGGAGGGGTGGGTGAGGAGAGGGGGAAGCAGGAACGTCTGTCAGAGTAGTGAGAGGGGCGCATAATAAGGAGGTGTATGGCCCGTATGGGCTTGTGCTGCCGCTGTATGCCTACTTCGACTTGCACGAACTGAAGTGGTGAGAGGAGGGGAGGGGAGGTGAGGAGGGGTGGGTGAGGGCAGGGGAGAGAAGGAACGTATGTGAGAGAAGTGGGTGGGCCGCATACTAACGAGGGGTATGGGCTGGTGCGGCCGCTGTTTGCCTACTTGGACTTGCACGAGCTGAAGAGGTGAGAGGAGGTGGGGGGTAGCAGGAACGTCTGACAGGTCTCAGATTGGTATGGGTGGGTCGAAAGTGGTGCAGAGGGGTATGGGCTGGTGCGGCCGCTCTGTTCCTACTTTGACTTGCACGAGCTGAAGAGGTGAGCGGCGGGGAGGGGAGGGGAATAAGGAAGTGGGGAGGGGAATAAGGAAGTGGGCAGAACATCACCCGCCCCATCCACCCTTCCCATCCCTACATTCCTCCCAAGCGCCCTCCTTTCTCCCATCCCTGCTCCCATCCCTGTCCCCCTCCTCTACCCCCTTCCCCTGCCCCCTCCATGTTCCCCTCCCTGTTCCCCTCCCTGTTCCCCTCCCTGTTCCCCTCCCTGTTCCCCTCCCTGTTCCCCTCCCTGTTCCCCTCCCTGTTCCCCTCCCTGTTCCCCTCCCTGTTCCCCTCCCTGTTCCCCTCCCTGTTCCCCTCCCTGTTCCCCTCCCTGTTCCCCTCCCTGTTCCCCTCCCTGTTCCCCTCCCTGTTCCCCTCCCTGTTCCCCTCCCTGTTCCCCTCCCTGTTCCCCTCCCTGTTCCCCTCCCTGTTCCCCTCCCCTGACCCCCTCACTACCCCTCCTGCTTCCTTCTCTGCTCCTCTTCTGCTTCCTTTCCTGCCCCCCTTCCTGCCTCCATCCCCTGCCCCCTTCCCGATCCCTTCCTGCCCCTTCCCAATCCCTTCCTGCCCCTCCCGATCCCTTCCTGCCCCTCCCGATCCCTTCCTGCCCCTCCCAATCCCTTCCTGCCCCTCCCGATCCCTTCCTCCCCCTCCTGATCCCTTCTTGCCCCTCCTGCCCCCTTGCCTTGCCCTCTCCTCTCCCTGCTATATCTATTCCTCCACATCCCTCCTCTTTCCCCAGCCACCTCCCCTTCACGCCGCTACAGGGCTTCAGAGCAGCAACCCCGTCCGTCCCCATCCCTCCATTCTCTGCGTTCCCATCTCTTCCTTTCCTTCCCCACCCACCCTCCCTCCCCCAGCCATCTCCCCTTCACGCCGCCACAGGGCTTCAGGGCAGCCGCCCCGTCCGCTCATCTCGCCACTCTCATCGCTCCCAAGCTCGAGCCAGCAGCAGCGCTGGCAGAGGGGGAGAGGAGGGGAAGGAGGGAGAAGAGGGAGAGTCTTGATTCTACCCCCTCATTGCTCCCATCCGTCCTCTCCTGCCTTCCTCCCTCCTTCCCTTCCCCCGCTCCTCCCCCACCTTCTCCTACCCCAGCCACCTTCCCTTCACTCCCTTGCAGGCCTTCAGGGCAGCCGCCCCGTCCGCCCATCTCGCCACTCTCATCGCTCCCAAGCTCGAGCCAGCAGCAGCGCTGGCAGAGGGGGAGAGGAGGGAAAGGAGGGAGAAGAGGGAGAGTCTTGATTCTACCCCCTCATTGCTCCCATCCGTCCTCTCCTGCCTTCCTCCCTCCTTCCCTTCCCCCGCTCCTCCCCCACCTTCTCCCACCCCAGCCACCTTCCCTTCACTCCCTTGCAGGCCTTCAGATCAGTCGCCCCATCGGCCCATCTCGCCACTCTCATCGCTCCCAAGCTCGAGCCAGCAGCAGCGCTGGCAGAGGGGGAGCGGAGGGACGTGCAACTGATCATTCGGAATCTCACTTCCTCTACGGATTTCGGGTTCGCCTCCTGCGATGCACCTGAGGGGGCGGTGAGTTTCTTGCAGTGGTGGTGAGTTTCTTGCAGTGGTGGTGAGTTTCTTGCAGTGGTGGTGAGTTTCTTGCAGTGGTGGTGAGTGTTTACGGGTGGTAAGCATGGGATGGCATGGGTGGTGGTGGCAGCAGCACTGGCAGAGGGAGAGGAGGGATGTGCAGCCGATAATTCGAAATCTCATTGCTTCTAATGATTTTGGGTTTGCCCGTGGTTTCTGCTGCAAAAATATCCCATGGTTTTGCTGCCTATACCTCTGCCACTCCTTAGCTCTCCAGTCATTCCCTCCCTTTCTTTCTCCCTTGCTCCTCTCTTCCTTACTCCCTTTCTTCCTCCCTTGCTCCTCTCTTCCTTCCTCCCTTACCTCTACCCTTGCCCCTCTTTTTTTCGCTTCGTTTTTCTGCATTGTTTGCCCCTTCCACCAGTCACTCCCGCGCAACTGGTCCCTGCTGCCCATGCGGAAGGAGCTCCAGTGGGTGATTTCCAACATTACATTCCAAATGAATAACAGCAACTACGATGTAGTGCATGTGCGGAGGGGGGACAAAATCTTGGACTCGAAGCGATGGCCCAATTTGGACAAGGACACGCGACCTGACAGGTATGTGATATCATCCACGGGCGTGCCGTGCACATAAGAGTGTGTCTGCGTGTGCATGTGCACGTGTGGAGGGGGGACAAGATCTTGGATTCGAAGCGATGGCCCAGTTTGGACAAGGACACACGACCTGAAGCGTTCGTGATCGGTGCATGTGTGCAGGAAGGGGTATGTGATGGTGATTTGTGCTTGAGAGAGAATGTGCGGAGGGGGGACAAGATCTTGGACTCGAAACGATGGCCCAATCTCGACAAAGACAAGCGGCCTGACAGGTAAACTGCGCATGTGCGTGAGGTGAGCATGTGAGAGAGGGGGCATGTGATGGTGATTTGTGCTAGAGAGAGAATATGTGCGGAGAGGGGACAAGGTCGTGGACTCGAAGCAATGGCCCAATCTGGACAAAGACACACGACCTGAGAGGTGATTGATCAGAATGCATGAGGGTATGTGCACGTGGGCTCCTGTGCATGTGCGGCGGGGGACAAGATCTTGGACTCGAAACGATGGCCCAATCTCGACAAAGACACACGGCCTGAAGCGTATGTCATCGGTGCATGTGTGCATGAAGGGGCATGTGTTAGTGACTTGGGCTTGAGATAATGTGTGGAGGGGGGTCAAGGACTCAAGGTCCTGGACTCAAAACGATGGCTGAATCTGGAAAAGGACACGCGACCTGACGGGTAAGTGAATGGTAGTTGATGTGAAGTGTGCGTGTGACATGAGACAAGGTGCTGAACTCGAAGCGATGGCCCGATTTCGGCAAAGACACACGACCTGACAGGTACGTGATTGCTGGATGATTGGATGAGAGAGTATGTGTGTTCGAAGGGTTATATGATGGTGACTTGTGCTTGAAAGAGCTATGTGCGCACTTATATGATGGAGACTAGGTGCTGGACTGGAAATGGTGCCCAGTCTATTGAGGCGCCTCAAAAATCCGCGAGACATGAGAAGACTTTTGAGGCGCCTCAAAAGGAGACAAGGTGCTGGACTGGAAATGGTGCCCAGTCTTTTGAGAAGGGTTATATGATGGTCATTTGTGCTTGAAAGAGCTATGTGCGCGGAGAGACAAGGTGCTGGACTAAAAATGGTGCCCAGTCTCGACAAAGACACACGATCTGAAGAGCGACAAGGGGTGTGTTTGATGTAAAGTGCACGTGCGTGAGATGAGCATCATGTGCATGAGCATCTAGTTGACTTTTGAGTCGACTCAAAAGTCAAAGTGCGCATGTTCGTGAGATGAGCATCATGTGCATGTGCATCTCTGCATGTGACATCTCATGTAGTGCACGTGCGGCGGGGAGACAAGGTGCTGGACTCGAAACGATGGCCCAATCTTGACAAAGACACACTCAAGTGTCTACCGGAGCTGGTTCAGCCTGGCCGGTTCTTTGAGAATTCTCAAAAACATTCCTCGACATCTCAACGGACGAGCGCTCCCCAGGCTTCAAGACCTCCTCTATTCCCTCTCCCACTCCATCCCCCCATCCAGTCTCCTGAAGTGTCTACCGGAGCGTTCAGCCCGGCCGGTTCCTCTACATCTCAACAGACGAGCTTTCCCCAGGCTTCAAGGCGTCCCCTATTCCCTTCTCCACTCCATCCCCAAATACCAGTCTGCTCAAGCGTCTACCTGAGCTGGTTCAGCTTGGCCGCTTTCTCTACATCTCAACGGACGAGCGCTCCCCAGGCTTCTTCGACCCACTGAAAGAGAAGTTCAACATTCGGATGCTGGGAGATTTCAAGGACCTGTGTGGTGCAGATGGGTGCAGATGGGTTTGTGGACCCCCTGAAACACCTTTTCTTTGCATGCTCCCCCTTTGTCGTCCTCTTCTATCCCCCATCCAGCCTCCAGAAACGTCTACAGGAGCTGATTCAGCCTGGTAGATTTCTCTACGTCTCAACGGACGAGCATTCTCCTGGATTCTTCGATCCCTTGAAACAGAAGTTCAACGTTCGGATGCTGGGGGATTTCAAGGAGCTGTGGGCGCCTGGGAGTGCGTGGCATCAGGTGTACTCGGATATGCTGGGGAAAGACGTCACTTTTGACTCGTATATGGAGGTATGATGCGCGATGATGTGTGGTCGTATGCAGTGGTGTGCAGTGGAGTGCGGTGGTGTGGTGTTGAGGCTCACCACTTGCTGTTGGGTGTGTTATGTGGGGGGTTGTTATGTGATACAGGGGTATGCACTAAGGTGCAGTGGTATGTAGATGCGGTGGTGTGTGGTGGTATGCAGATGCGGTGGTGGTTTTCTTGTCCCAGTCGCCCTTTCATCCCTCATCCACAAGTGTCTTCCAGGGCTCTAGATTGGTTTTAGGGCACCCTGGTCAATCAGGGTGCGACCTTAGCATTTGGCCCATGGCTAGGGTGAGAAGTTGAATACCCTTTCTAAAACAGGGTAAATCTGGGTTTCCGATCAATCATCCTGATTCTATCAAGGTGGAGTTTTCTGTCAGAACCCCATCCACTAGACCATTGGGATAAAATGGCTTGTTAAGTAGCGGGTCGGTGCGCCCATAACCCCCCAGGACAACGAGCCTGTAACCCTTCCCTATGATCAATCGGGGATCTCCAGTGGACCTCTGACATTTTCGTTACGCTGTTTTGTAACAGCGGTGTCTCTTTACAGTGGGCTGCATGTTGCCAACCAGCACAGATGCAATTTGGCAACGCTAGTCGTTCTAAATGACGCGAGAACCCACTTCCAGCCAGCGTGTCCGTGACTCGCGCATCTGTGATACGGGCTGTGATTTTTCTTTCCTACATAAGCACGCGTGAACTGTTCTCGTCGGTTTCTGTTTCAGAGTGTTTTTTGTACAACCCTGATTCGCCAGGGTTGAATTTTAGTAACCCTGAAAAAATAAGTGTGGAAAATAATTTACACTTTCTTCATCAGGGTAGAAAATCGTTAGCACTTATAAAATCAGGGAAAGTGCCAAAATGCGGCCCATAGCAAGGGTAATCAGGGTGTTTTACCCATCAAACGAGAGTCATGGTGTCTTCTGCTAGCATTTCGCTTGCTCCAACATCTCATTCCTCATCCAAGCAATGGTGGACTGCCAAGGTTACAAGGCTGTCTCAGAAGGCCATAGAGACATGCAACGCCTTTTCTTTTACCATGCATGAAGCTCCCTCTCACCTCGTCTCTGCTGTGTGCGTGCCCTATCAAATCCCTCATCCAGGCAATGGTGGACTATGAGGTTACAAGGCTGGCTCAGAAGGCCATTGAGACATTCAACGACCTCACCAGTGATCCTAGGGATGGCATTCAATGACCTACCAGCTGTCCTTTATAGAGGGTGTGTAGCTGACATTCGAATTGAACACTTCTCTCACTGTGGACCGCATTGTTCCGCAGTGTCATGCAAAACAAATGCGAGGTTTGCCTTGGGAAGGAACCTGCCTTTACCCAGATCGTGTACCTGTTGTGCTAACAAAGATCAAACAGAAAGTGTCTGATAAGCATTGATTTGTCAAGTCTACCGTATTAGGCTGAGTCAAATTGTTTCCTTCTAGGTTTCAATACAGCACAAATTGCACCAGCTGAGACATATACAGTGCTGCTGTCCAAAGCAAAAAAAAGAATCGATTTTATCAATGCATGCAGAGAGTGATTGTGACTGATTTGTCAGAGAGCCCTGACTTTGAACAGCTTGGGCGAATGCATGCGCAGAGGAACGAATTCACAGCACTGATCTGTGAAAAAGGGCTTGAGGAAAACGGGTGAAGGGCTAGGAAGGGGGGAAGAATGTGTGTAGGTGGGGAGGGGGGAAAGGAAGACCTGGCATGGCATCTACTTTGCCATCATCATCTTTACAAACTCCTCATAATTAACTTGGCCATCCCCATCCACATCTGCTTCCCTGATCATTTCATCAACCTCCTCATCTGTCAATTTCTCTCCCAAATTCGTCATCACGTGTCGAAGCTGCACAGTGGAGAGTATGGTTCTTAGAATAAAATTTCCAAAAATATTCTAGAAAGCACTCCGAAAGAAAACATTGAACATAATTATTTCCACAGGGCCGACGTACCTCCTGCGCCGAAATAAACCCGTTCTGGTCTTTGTCAAATACCTTGAACGCTTCCTTTAGCTCCTCTTCGGAATCGGTATCCTGAGGTAGATCGCACGCGATGGTTACAAAGCGACCTGGAATGTCTTAAAAACAAGCGCATTGTGAACACTGACCTTCATTTTCCTCGCCATAAGGTTCAGGAACTCGGGGAAGTCAATTGTGCCGTTGCCGTCAGCGTCAACCTCATTGATCATATCTTGCAACTCGGCCTCAGTCGGATTCTGACCCAAGGACCGCATGACAGTGCCCAGCTCCTTCGTTGTGATGCTGCCTGAAGGCACGCCAAGAACATGAGAAGGTAAAATCCATGACAGAAGCGGAACATTCGCTCGATACTACGGCATACGACATTATCATGCTGAAAGAATTCGTCTTCAAGCTTGCTAATAACTCGTAACGCCATGTCTCAACCACCCCGAACGCAAAATCTGGCCGACGCACCGTCTCCATCTTTGTCGAATAAGCTAAAGGCTTCCTTGAACTCCGCAATCTGATCCTCAGACAACTGGTCGGCCATTTC